AAGCCTGTCAGCCTTGAACAGTTTGCAAATAAGGCTCCCGCCCTCACACCGAATGCAGACATCAACTAGCCTTTTCACACTGCATATCTAGCTCAGTTTTTTTCCAAAGACCGGGGATCTGTTTAGCAAGCACGTGGAACTTGTTTTGGTTGGCTGACGAAGTACTTAATTTACGAGCTGCGTCCTCGGCTACTGTTCGTTTGCCGATTCTCGAGCATTCTGAACCCCGCCCTGTCGGCGACCAGCCCATCAGTTTCCATCAGTTGTTAAAGGGCATTTCTGTAGGGAAGGACTTTGTTGTGATGCGTAAGGAGGTGCCTTCTCATACCCGTTATTAACTTCAATTCGGCAAGTCGACCACTTTTTTATTTCCCATCTGACCCTTTGGGAATCCAGAGACGACACCTTTAGGTCTTCTACTGCCGAGTTATAACTCATCGAACCGTAGAGTGGCTGCTGGCGACGTCCAGACATCCTTGTTGTTAAGCCTACTCCGCTTAATAAAATTAACGTCTGAACCGTCGTCCAAGGATGTACATTTTCCGTCAAATCCGTTGGAAATTAACAACCTGACAAGAACCACTCCCAATCGTGCTAACGTATATTTAGTCCCAGTAAACGCACTAAATCCTTCATTCTGCTTAGTTCTCTCTCAACCGTTACCTAAAGGAAACAAGTGCGACAATGTGTGGCGGCCTTTTTGTACTGAACGCATTTCTCCTTCGGCCCACTCCTTTTAATAAAAAAAGTGTATTTTCTAGACAGCTGAAACAGGGCATTTTTTTTAGAAATACACTTGCATATTTCGGAACCAGACATGGGGAGTAAACGCGGACAACGCGCAACTCCGTGTGACACCTGTCCAAACCGATTTCTCCTTATTCTAGCCCGCATATGCACACATTTTGTGAGGTCTGAGAAGTCGGGATTTCTGTATGTCCTCTCGGCCACTTCAGCTCACTGGTTTTGTGCAACGCAAGCAAATGAAGTCACTGTCCGGTTCAGGACATTCAACGACTGTAATTTAGACTCGTAGCTCATTTGCGTCAGTTTTTATCTTGACGTGCCTGCGTTGACACACTGTCCAGAAAAAAACGGGCGACAGTATACAACTCTCGAAACAAGCTGCTAGGTATTTCCCGAGCCCTCACGCAGACCAACGGAGCGGGTAACACCATGCAATCTTATATTACTGCTCTCGAATCTCAAAAGAAAAGAAGTTTCGGTACGATGTGGTTATTTGGCCCCACCTGGTCGAAACAATACTGTTGGAGTTGGGGTTAGGGGTTATGGTTAGGGATTAGAGTTAGCGGTCGGGGGTTAGTGTTAGGCATTAGGGCTAGGGATTAGGACAACTATTTCTCGACCACTAAAAGTACAACTGCGCATTCACAATAGCTTTTCGTTTGCATACAATTGCTTGACCCCGTCGCCTGTGCGTTACCCGGACCCACCTGTAAAGACCTCTATTACCACCGGCCCCGTACTACAGGTGGCTGGGGTTTGTTTACTTCAGGTGCGGCTACATCTGACCGGAGTTTCTGCCCAGCATCCTTGACTTTGCTCTCTACGTAGATTTTAAACTGGAGCATAAATTTCCAATATTGCATCGGGTTACCATCAAAACCAACGATTCAACTTTCAGGGGTTCTAAACCGACAACCATCGGACTCGTAGGAACCAGTTTGGGTACATCAACATTCACACGCTGACAAGGATCATTCTGTGCAGGACAGGTTCCACTCCAGAAATGCATCACTACTTGCAAATGAATCCAAAGGTTTTCGATCATCATCGGGAGTTTCATCCTCCGCCTCTGCCTAAATCTTAGCAGGTTCGGTTTTTTGGCATAAAAATGGCATGTTGAAGTTTGGACTCGTGGTTAACCCGTCTGTTTTAAATTTCTGTAATTTTCAGTATTTAGTGTAGTTCTATGCCTACGACTGCAGCTATAGACGGTCTTGTAAGAGTCATGTTGAACAACGTCCTTCTTGAGATCTCCTTATTCTTCAAACGCACTCCAGTTTCCCTGCTCGAAGACCTGATTTGGAACGTTCAATACATCCTTTTTAACGCTTCTGCATATGGCTGTTCCTGTGTCGACCAGTGAGTTGTGAAGATCTTGAGAATTGCCAACTTATTCGGTATCCCGAGCGACGCCTATAAACCAAGAAATATATTTCAGTGTTTACACTGTGCTATTGACAGAATATGACTAAGAAGAAAGATGTAAAAACCTTAACAGTGGATACCCTTGCCAAAGAATTCCTTAGTCAATATTCGAAAAGATGGAATCTCCGGCTCAAGGTCAGACAAGGAAACCAACCAATTAAAAGAACGCAGTTCATGCCCAAAAAGGGGACGTAAAAAGGGAAGTGGAATGTCAACAACAGGGACCAGAATTGGAAGCACCCGAGAGAGGGATATGAAGAATTCCAGGATTAAGAGAAAGGAAGTTGTTTTCGTTTGGCACAGAAGGGTGGCAGTAGCCATCGCGAAAGACGAAGAGTGTTGGTACTCATCTGCGAAATACGGCACCGATACGCATTTTGAAGTGATAAACTAGTTGGAAAGGAACTTTTCTCGAGCAAGAGCATATTCGTCGTAGATCTTTGTTTTGGAAATTCATTTTTTTTCGACAATTACGGTTAGACGAGGCAAAAGTCGTGACACAAACAGTCATCTACAGAAGAGGGACGTTCATGACTGAGAATTTCTGAGACCAACAACGACCTCACAGTCTTTAAATTCAACGGGCTCCAACGTCGTAAGTAAACGTGTAATAATTGTGAGGGCGAGATATTCTCCAAACACCCAGTAGACAGTATGGATGTGATCGCGTCTGCTAATTATATTTCAGTTGTTTCTTGGTTAGCCAGGCCTTAGACATGCGACCTTATGAGGCTTTAATTCCTGCGCCATTCCTATCCATGAAATCGAGCGAAAACCTCTTCGACTTAGCAAACAGCTCACGCATTAATGCAAAAATGACTGAATAGGATCAACATTTTGTCAAATCATTTTAATAACACTCGATTAAATATCGAGTTGTTCACTGGCTACCATGCCGTATCTTTTACCAGCTCTTGATAAGTGGTTGAGTCTCGGATCATCTAAAAGAATTTTTGTAGCATTGCTGTCCTTGTAAAGATTCCCAAATTCAATTCTTTTCATGAACATGCATTACACACTTCAGCAAAGTAAGCTCACGATTTTTGCGTCCTTATTGGCTCAACTGGGCAATAACCATTATTTGTAGTCACCGAACCGATAACTCGAATAATTCTCAAGTGCATACTCGTTCCTTTGAAGTGGATGTTTTGATTGATGCGTCTGTAGCGGTTTCTGAGTTATGGGGACTACTTCCTGAGTTTATGTGAACTTCGGAAATAAAGTCATCTACTGTGAGCATTTGAGAAACGCCACTTCGGATTCTGTTTTGTCGACGCAAATCGACACTTCTAGTATTTGCAAGTGCTTCAGCAATCATGAAGTACGTACTTCAGACGGGATAGAACAACCGACCTGAAGACTAACGGCCACACGTCCTATAGGTACCACTGTCTCCAATGCACATTCCACTGCCCTTGGAAGTTTGCCACGCTACTTAAATCGTCTTGAGTAGGTAGAGCCTTCGTTTTGAGCTCTCAATCCATTGTCATACAGCTCGAAGGACACCGTTGTGCACGCAATTTACGCAGTCCGCTGATGTCCCAGTGCGGGGCAAAGGCGTCCTTTTCGTTCTTTATGGTTATTTGGAGGGAAGAGTCATTAGCGAAAAACGCGGCGTACAACTAGTCTCTGCTCACCAAATCATCTGCGGCCTGGATGATGGGGAACGGACATTAAACAGAGTCTTAGGGGATGTCCCTGAAAACAGGAGTTCACGTCGTCATACTTGTCTTTAATACAAAGGCACCCAATATATAAAACAGCAGGCTATTCGTTGGCCTAAGTCGAATGGGGTCGCCATTGCCAATAGAAGCGAAGAGCCGAGTCCCAGGAAGTAGTCTTGAAGAAGGAAACACGATCGCCGGGACAAGAGCTTTATTAGCCTGACGTTTCGGATTCCTACTCGAATCCATCATCAGAGACAAAAAAGCAGAAACGGGTGGTTGTTGCACAAGGGGCTGCGGTATTTATAGGATGCAGCAGCCATGCTACCGCATACCTATGAACGTTCGCGGCTTCCCCCTTCATCCGGGATTGTCACACTTGGTGTGATCATTGCTTGATGGCCAACATTCGATCGATAATTGCTGCAATTTCATCACGTGCGTTGGATGTTGGCGTGATGATTGCTCGACCATCTGACACGTTGACCCGGGTGTTGGGAAGAGTGTTCACCAGTGCGCTCCCCGCGTGGCCAATTACTCCGCCTAGACGAAGTCTCAGCACGCTGTATTGAATGGGAAGATCGTTGCACTTGTTGATGGACTGGGGGCCAGTAAACCATGATTCCAGTAGCTCCCGGCTCACTCGGTTGTCACCTCTTGCGAGAATTTCGGCCTCATCGAATTTAAATGTGTGGCCGGATCTCGTCGAATGAGCCGCAACTTGAGAGCTGGCGTCATTTCTCCGCACCGCTGCCGCGTGTTCGGCCATTCTCGTTCGGAGCTGTCTTCCGGTTTCTCCGACGTAGTTGCTTTGTCCGCAACTGCACCAGATCCGATAAACGACTCCAGACGTTTCTAGCCGTGGCAGTGGGTCTTTCGGTTTCATGATCAGACGCCTGATGGTTGCCTCCGGTCTGTGTGCCACTCCAACCCCAAGTGGTGCGAGAAGGCGGCCGAAAGCTTCCGAAACGTTCTTGACATACGGAAGTGCCCGCCAAGACTTGGTGTCCGTGCAGTTAGGCCTTTCGTCCCTTTTGCGTATGCACCGGTCGACGAAGTTGCGCGGGTAGCCATTGGCTTTGAAGACCCGTCGGAGATATTGTAGTTCAGCAATTTTTTCTTCCGGCTCACTGCAGTGCGTTTCGACACGCCGATAGAGCGTCCTTACGCAACTGCGTTTGTGGCTGATTGGTGGTTACTGTTGAAGTTCAGTACTTGCATCGTATTTGTCGCTTTCCTGAACACTTTGGTCTTTAGTCCACCACAATCCTTGCGGCATACGAGGACATCCAGGAAGGCCAGCTGGTTGTTCTCTTCCTCCTCCATCGTAAATTGAATGTCCGGGAAGACGGCGTTGAGATGTTCTTGGAATGTCAACACCTGATCCCGTTCGATGACGACGAAGGTATCATCCACATACCGGGCCCAGAATTTCGGTCTGTGGTGTTGGAAGACCAGCGACTCTAACCGTTGCAGGACCGCCTCGGCGATGAATCCCGAGGTCGCCATTGCCTAGGTTCGACCCGCTGACTTAAGCTATATTTTGGGTACGAGGATGATGATGTTACCCATGAGCGCCTCAAACCTTCTGTGTTCCGATGACAAAATGACTGAAAATAAATGAAGACAGACGTCCGTGCTCTGGCTGACTCGACACCCAGTTCGCATCTGCGCGGATCACATACGTGACGCTCCACCGCCGGACGAGACTTAGTTGACTGGGGCATCATACCAGCGAGAATTTCAATAAGAGGGGAGATCTGGCGGGCTGACTAGCGGTCTGAAGAGAAGAATAGCCATGAGTCGTAATGATCCAATCCTATAAGCTAAAAATATCCCCGTTCAGGCCTTTTTGATTCCAGAGGCCTACCGGCGTCCTCAAAAGTTGCCCATCAAGACGTGCACTTTTTGCTTCCCCTCCCTTTGCGCACTCTACATGCACGTCTGCCTACCAGCTGCGTCGAATAATGGTCGGGATATCTAGTAGTCAGTTTCCTTCCACCCCACTCACCCTCTTCCTCTCTCGCGCACAGATCCAAAGCGTTGAGTAGTTTTGACACGAAAACTCTCCTCCCCCTACAGGTTTATATCTCTGATAGGGGAAGGAGGCGCTCTGGCAAACAGACTATTTAGGTAAGTGTATTGAACTGATTAATTACTTAAAACTATCGTCCACCACGGTGTCGCCACTGTTTATAAAATACGAATTTTATCAGGCCGGTCATCATACTACTATTACTGCTACTACTTCTACTACTACTACTACTACTACTACTACTACTACTAATACTAATGTTACCACTTCTATGTTAGGGGGCGCTCATCGATCGTTCATACGGAACTCACTCGTTCCGTTGTGCCTTAAGGGCTCTCTCTCGAGCCCAACCAGCAGCCGCGCAGCGGCGCATGATACATAGGCAGAATGGCATTACCGACAAAGACAAGGGAGACTGGAATGGCCATTTCTGGCTTATTAGCCGTCGTCAGCCAGCCATACCCAAGCCCGAAGTGTGGAACACCCGAGCCTCGAACTCGCGACCTGTTGGTTTAGAAGTCAACGCCTCTACTCACCGGGCCACGAGCCCGGGTGTTCCACACTTCGGGCTTGGGTATGGCTGGCTGACGACGGCTAATAAGCCAGAAATGGCCATTCCAGTCTCCCTTGTCTTTGTCGGCAATACCATTCTGCCTATGTATCATGCGCCGCTGTGCGGCTGCTGGTTGGGCTCGAGAGAGAGTCCATAAGGCACAACGGAACGAGTGAGTTCCGTATGAACGATCGGTGAGCGCCCCCTAACACTGTATATTCCCGATCGAAAACCGACAGGGCAACGGGCTCGTGGCCCGGTGAGTAGAGGCGTTGACTTCTAAACCAACAGGCCGAGAGTTCGAGGCTCGGGTGTTCCACACTTCGGGCTTGGGCATGGCTGGCTGACGACGGCTAATAAGCCAGAAATGGCCATTCCAGTCTCCCTTGTCTTTGTCGGTAATATCATTCTGCCTATATTACCACTACTACTGCCGACAGCTCGACCGTCGTTATCGACGTTGTCCGCAGTGTGTCCCCAACAAGTTGGGTGCAGGAACGCTGCCTTTTGCTTGATAGCAGACTTGCGGTGCATCTACTGCATTATCCCCTCCTTCACCGACCAGGGTGCGGTGCCAATTCGAGGTCAAGAAGACTGGAGGCGGGATCGGGGGCAGTGGCTGACAAAACTGAAAAACGCGTTTACGCGGGCCATATATGTGCCTTGTCCGCACACGATGGATCTGGCTTTCATACAAACAACAAGAGGCGAAAGGAACGGATCCCAACCGAGAGAGAATGCCATGGAGACCACACCTGACTATCCGAGATAGAACTGCCCGTTTACGCACACCATACACGACCTGCTCCCGCCATAACTCACCGAGTTTTCACACCAAGGGGGTGCGTCGCTCCGAGCTCAGATGCGTTACAGAAGCATAAAGTTGAAATGGAGAAGGAGACGAAGAACAGGCATCTCATCTCCGTATCATGTGATAGCAAAGTGGCCAACAGAGAAGCTGAAGCCCGTACAATACCAGCAAGTCCCACGTGCCTATCGTGATACAGTAGGCGGGCTAATCCATGAAATGTCGACCGAAATTCCAAAATGCGTTTTCGCTTCGAAAAGATTAATTAAATAGGGTAGTAAAACTAATCATCATGTAGTATAATTCTATAATATTTCAGTTACCTTAGTATGCCGGCTTTTGAATGAACTTCGCTCCGGTAGTATGCAAAAACTGCACTCTGTAAAAAATGACTACTTAAATAGCATGCATTTTTCTCATTGATTATCGATGCCCCTAAATTTCCAATAATATTTCCTGGAAAGCATGCATAAAAATATTCATCCTTTTGTTCATTCGGTAGAATGTTACATCTTCTTCCAAGTTTAAGCTTGAAGAAAGGGTATACTTCGGTTTTCAAAAACTTTTCTAATTCCCAACTAATTTTGAACCCGACCTGCTGTTACACTTGCAGTCAGGGTTTGCAAGCTACAAGCCGTATATTTTTCGCGTACGGTAAACCACACATTTCTCTATGGTATTAAGAGGAGACCATATGGGGTTCATAGCATTTGACAGTGGATTTGCTCCATACTGGTAACTTTACAAACCACATTGGTAAATGCAGAGACATGACGTTTTATGAATGGCCATTTCACGATATTAAAAAATATCAAGATTAAAAACTGTTAAAAGCCGAATTATACCCGTTCTTGAAGCTTAAACTTAGAAGAAGACGTAACATTCTACCGAATGAACAAAAGAATGAATATTTTATGCATGTTCTCTATGAAATATAATTGAATTTTTAGGGGCATCGAAAATCAATGAGAAAAATGCATGGTACATAAGTAGTCAGTTTTTATGGAGCGTAGTTGTTGTGTTCGGCCGGAAAGAAGTTCATTCGACTGCCGGCATCTGAAGGCAAATAAATTATTTTAGAATTATGCTACAGCCCAATTTAATAACTCTTTTCGAGACGAAAACGCATTTCGGAATTTCGATAGACATTTCATGAGTTAGCCCACCTACTGTACCTTCGGCTTCATTGGTGACGTCAAGGGCCTACACCTAAGCAGAATGGTTATGTTTTCGCCAGACAGCTCATCACTCTGTACAAAAGTGCCGGTCGCCGAAATGGCTGACTACGTCTGTAAATTCCTATCGTAGAATTAGCAGGAAATAGGGATGCTGATGAGGAATTACTGCTAAGCTACACATTAAAAGCGTAGTTCCTCGTTGTCAATAAACCATCCAGACAAAATGACGAAGTTGCTATTGGCTCGCCTCTTGGCGCTCTCTTATCCAAAATTTGTTGAACCATGTGATCAACTCAACAGGATGAGATGTACTGCAGTCTCCACGTGGATGCTATTTTTACAGTTGCGACAACGCAGACCAGCCTAGCTGCTCTCCTAGATACTGTAAGTCAGGCGCATCCGTCGGTAAAGTCCACAATGGAGATGGAGACGCAAGCTCGCTCTCTTGACGACAGCTTTAAAAGAAGCATCTATTGGAACAAAACGTAAACACTTTCCAAACCCCTTCACCAGGAACGCAATCCAGTCCTTCATTTGACTCAAAGGCCTATAAAACTTGGTAAAATGAGGGACCTACTTCGCGAGAATGAGCATCTTGATCTATTCATTACAAACATCAGCAAAACTCACCATGCTGACAGCGGAAATGAAAGATCTATTCCCCAAAGTTCCCTTACAAGGGGACGTGGCGTGGTAAGACGAAATAATCAAGTTATTTTATGGAACTTCCCAGCAAAAAGAGTTCGGATAGCATTCTCCGCCAGCCTCATTCCGCACGGAGCAGATGCGGATAGGCTGTCAGAACATACCACCTGAATGTGCATGTACACCTTTGCTTGATACTATAGAGCAAATTATATTGGTTACATTAGTCGATGGTTACCCAAAAGAATTCGCGAACACCGTCCAGCATGACTAATGAAATGCAAAATAAAGGGTTTTAGCAACACCGTTTTCTCACACACGATTGATCGCGGACATCGCGTGGACCCTAATGCGGCCTTCCGAGTGATCTACAAGGTCTTATCAAACCACCCAAGGGCACTGTTACAGCGCCTGCTGCGACGGTAGAGGCGGTCGCAGTCGTGCAGACCCCGAATCTTCCATGGCCCAACATTCTCCATCCCATCCCCCTTCACACCCACGTTCACCATAATCAACTGACTCGTCAAGCAGCCTTTTAATGAACATTTTGCATAATGTTCCTAAAAATTATACAGCCGCCAAGGATAAGCCTAGCTACGTTACAATGATTTATAACACTCACCCCGGCTTGACCAAAACCTCCCCTACTACTACTACTACTACTACTACTACTACTACTACTACTACGACCGCTGTTAGTAGTGCTGACACTGAAATCCCTACTGAACACCTTTCTCTTTCCTTTGGTTTGGCATAACTTTTAATTTTTGCAGTTTATCCCTGTCATGTACTCCTATCTGTCTAATTCTTCTCGTTATTATTTGCATTAGTATATTATTGTTACGATCACTACTAATACAACCGTTCATATTAGTAATGACGTTGCCACTGCTCAGACAAACGAGAATGCGGATTCTAGAAGGCTGTTGAGGAGAAGTAGGAGCGATCCCCCGGACAGGAGCTCTATTTGCCTGGCCACCCAATCAGCCGCAGTCACAATTGCGTATGGGCACTTCTTCAGCACCTTGAAACAAATCGCGGTGAAGTAGAGGACAAGGTTGGCGAATTGGAATAATTTCAGAGCCAATGACCACTCGGCCAACCACGTCAACCGACGCATACGAAAACGAGATGAGATGCGCCAAATCGTGCCGGCCCCAGATTTTAGCAGGTGCTTCCGTACGTCTCGGGGGACGGGGGAACGTCAGCCACCTTCTCCCACAACTGGAAGTTGGAGTTGCACGCAGACCGGGGCGGGGGGCAACTACCAGTCGACAGGAAATGAGTCCAAAAGACTCACTGCCAGGACAAGGGAGGTCTGGAATCGTTTATCGGATCTGGTACAATTGCGAGCAGAGCAAGTACGCCGGAGAAGTTTGAAGACTGTTCACGACGCGCATGGCCGAACACGCGGCGGCAGTACGGACAAATGACACCAGCTCCAAAGTCGCGGCTGATTCGAAGAGATTCGGCTACACATTCGGGTTCAACGAGGCCGAAGTTCTTGCAAGAGATGAAAGTCGCGTGAGCTACGAGCTGCTTGATTCGTGATTCACGGGTCCCCAGAATATTAACAGGTGCGATTACCTGCCCCTTCATATTCAATGTTGGGATTTAGACTGGGCAGAGTAATTAGCCACGCAGGGAGCGCGCAGGCAAACATTTTTCCCACCACCAAGGCCAGTGAGCCAGACAGTACAGCAATCATAACGCCAACGTCCAGCGCGGATGATGAAATCACGAATACTGAGGTGTCCGATGCTGGCAGCCAATGGCAACCGTTCGCGATAAATGGGCGATCTGTTAATTTTCATAGGTATGCGGTACTAGAGCGCCTGCTGAAAACGCCTGTTCATGAATAACCCGTATCTGATGCTGTTTCTGATGATGGGTTCAAGCGTGAATCCGAAACGTCAGACAAGGAAAACTCTTATTTCAGCGATCACGTCGCCTTCTTCACGCTTGCCTACATTGGTGGTGATACTGCCGCCGCCGTCCCCAATGAATGTGCTCTCAGAAACTGACTAAAAAGGTGACGCAAAGTGTTGCTTGAAAAATGGACTGATCATCCACTTTTTCAGCGGGACTATGGTAAATGTAGTTATTACCAAATGAGACACTTTCGTTGTCGGTGATAACGATGATGACCTATGCTTTCAAAATGATTGCCGTTCTGTTGACCATCACCACCGAAACCACCACCACCACCACCACCACCACCACCACCACCACCACCACAACAGCCACCACCACCACCAACACCAACACCACCATCACCGCCACCACCAGCATCAACTGCACCACTACTGTCATGGGCAACGTTAATATTATATAGCACCTTTTCTGTTACGTCTCCTTTGTTTATATGATACTCTGAGTGGCTCCTACACATTCTTTGTTGCTCTTTCTTGTGCACGCGTGTGTGCGTGGTCAGGTTTTCTGTTAAAAGTTTGCTGCTAAAAGTAGGCACGGCCTTGCTCTCCCGCGAAGCTGTGCCCGGTGCCTACCTGCCCCTCGCAGACCTCAATGTGACGAGGTTTCACCTACCGCTGTCGCCCCTATTCCCACGTGACATCTGATATGAATCACTTATGCCACCACCATCGCTTTTTTTTTCTCCTCTTCATATCCCTCTGTGTCTCTCCCTCTCCTGGGGGATTGGGCATAAAGGGAATAGCGGGGACCAACTCATTTATGACTTAAATGGCCCTCGTAAAGATTAGTCATCGGGACCGATAATGTGCGATGTCCAACAGCGTGCCAGCAGCTGCCCTTGCCGAGAGGAAGTGACTCGATGACGCCCTGGCTGATAGGCACCGCCTCCTCCCCCCCCCCCGGTGGCGCAAGTAACCACTGTGTGCCATCGATATCGCCGATTTTAAAACAGTGTGTGGAAGCTCGCGAAAGGCCATCTAAGGGGACTCCAGTAGGAACGATAACTCGTCAGGGTTGGTAGCCTTTCTGTGATATTCATTTTAGTCTCTTATGTTTTGTCTTCTACTTACTTTTCGGTCAGATGTGGTTACGTAGCCCCACGTGAAGTAAACAAACCCCAGTCACCTGTAATACGGGACCGCCGATAATAGGGCATTTACAGGTAGGGCCAGGAAACGCACGGACGACGAAATGAAGTAGCTGTAGGCAAAATAAAAGTCTTCGGGAACACACGGTTGTACTTTGAGTGGAGGGGAAATAGTTGCCCTAAACCATAACACTAACCCCCAACCATAACCCCTAACCCTAACACCTAACCATAGCCTCTAACACCTAACCTCAACCCCGAACCCCAACCCCAATAGTATTGTGCTCATCAGGTGGGACTACAAAACCGCATCTGGCTCTAGTGCAACTTTTTGTTATTAGTAGTGGCACTACTAATACTACTTCTACTACCACTTTGAAGGCAGCTATGATGCCACTATTGTCACTTCGAATTCTAATATTGCTATTATCACTACTGTTATCTTCTATCGAACAAGATTAGGCATTCTTCTGCGAACTTCTATCTGACCTACGTGCATGTTGTTCCCCAACTCCTTGGTCCGTCTCCCCCCACCCACCTGAGCTACACTTTGATTAGTCGGCTCTTGGCTTCGACCTGGAGAACGAGGGTTACCCTTGTTGCTTTAAACCCTTCCTACACACGCGTGTAACCCGCGCTCACAAACGCACGTCTTTTGCTGGCCACAGTCGGGCGTTAGATTCGATGGATTCCTTTGCTCTGAGTACAGGTATCCACTATTGAGTTTCGTACTTTGTTTATTCCTGATTTTGTCTTAGTAACGCCGCACCAAACCCAGCTGCGGTTTTCATTTTTATCCGACGTACGCGTTACTCAAAGGTACCAAATTGGCGGTATAACTGTTACCACAACCAATTCTTCTGTTGGCTTCTTCCTTGTCTTCGCTCTTTCATCTTTTTGGATTCTTCTTCTTCTCCATCCTCTTTTAGTTCTCCTACTTCCTTTCTCCTTTTTACTCTTCTATTGCTACTGATGATACTACCAGTTCAACCATGACTCCTTATGCCACTAGGGCACCAACAGTTTCATTTCTGCCAACACTACCAGGACAACTATTTGTGCCGCAATAATCAGTGGAATTGCTACTACTACTACTACTACTACTACTACTACTACTACTACTACTACTACTACTAATAATAATAATAATAATAATAATAATAATAATAATCATACTACTACTACTACTACTTATACTACTACTACTACTATTACTTCTATTACTACTACTACTACTACCACTACTACCACTACTACTAATACTAGTCTCACTACTACTGCTAATACCATTAAAACTAAGATTGCTACTACTGATAGCAGCGAATGCGGCAAGGGCGCAGTACGCGACCCCGCCCAGGGAAGGAAAACTAGGTCATCATGGCATGTTGCGTCCTCGCGTTTTTTTATAACTGACGCTTCTGCGCTCTCGTAACCAGATGGAATGTAACCTATTTCTTTTGTGAAAACAAACTGGGAACACTGCGAAAATGCTCAACTTTTACTTGCCCTGCCAAGCACCTTGATACCCTCATCATGCTTGGGGGATCGGGTTCTTGGTACATGCGCTCATTTGTAGGTAGCTGTAGAGAAATTTATAGTACGACGGCACAATGTGACACTTCAACATTTATCCGTCTATTTACCTACTGTCTCGCTCTCCTTTCAACCATTTAGCCCCAACCCCAAAACCTATATTGCATGATGACCTGGTTTTGTTCCTCGAGTGGGGTCGCATTCTTGCCAATAATGCTACTACTTATACTGCTGCTGTCTCCGTTGACGTTGATACGACTACTGCTGACATCATTATCACTACTATTACTGCTAATGCTACTGGTACTGCTACTATTACTACCACTACTTCCAAAACCTCAGCTGATGGGACATGCTCAGAGTTCGCTGGTGATGCAGATAGTTCATATATGCGACCGGAAGCACTGATTTCAAAACCGCGTCGTGGGACATAAAAACCGCCGGCACCACAGTTAGAGTATCGTTGCCGACGATTTCCACCGTGTGCTCCACAGCGTGGTGAAGCAGGAACGGTGACTTGTGCGTGAATTAGTTTATAGTGAGAGTGGACTTGCACAGCATCTGCCTCACTCTCTCCTCCTCCCCCACCTGGACCCGGCGTCAACACAAAGTCAAAAAGACTGGAGGCGAGGGAGGACGCAGGTGGATGGCACGATCGCGCCCGCACCTTGGCGCTCTACTCCACAACCTCTGGTCCACACAACAAATGACCAGGATTTTGACCAACAACAACAACAACGGGGAGGGCTGCAGGGGTCCCAATGTGCGCGACTTTTGCCGGCAACTGGGTCTGCAACAGCACCCGCCCCCCCCCCCCCCGAGGTGTTGGCAGTTTTTATGGTGCGCATCCCAATACGCTCCCCTGTAGGTCCAGTGGCTCGTTGGGGGACGCCAAACTCAAACAGGAGCGACAACACAACTAAGTTGGCAGAAATGAAACATGGCCGTAAAGTTTATTGCACCGACAGCGAACTAGCGGCTTTACGTTAAGGATATCCTCAGGGGTCTCAGACAACGCAGCTGACAAGACGCCAACTAATCACACGGCCTGTCTCTTTTCAATCGTCCTACGGTCATGAAGTTCGGTTTTGTTTGAAAATCTGCACCTGCACAGCTAGCAACTGGGCCTGACATTCGTTTGTAACAACTGCCAAACAGCGACGGCTCGTATCTGTGCAACAGACTGAGAGGAATCTAATCACCAGGTTCCTGACAAAACGGACTGCCGGTGTTTCGATCCGATTGGCGAGAGCAGATTTCATGTTATGCTTAAACATTCGCCGTTGCAGTCGACAGAACTTGTGGGCCTGTTCTTAGGTGACACAACTGAACGTGAGTAGAAAGTGGGTCAGACGTGGTTATGTAGCAATAGGGGTTATTACAGGTGGGGCCGGGGAACGACGGGCGACGAGGTCAAGTAGTCGTATGCAAAAGAGAAGTTATTGGGAATTCGCGGTTGTACTTTGAGTGGTTGAGAAATAGTTACCCTAACCCCTAATTCTAGTCCCTAACTCTAACGCCTGACTATAACCCCTGATCGTAACCCCCAACCCTAATCCTTAATCCCAGCCCAACCAGCATTGTGTCCATCAGGTGGAGCTTCATAACCACTTCTTAGCAAAAAATTTTTAGTAAATTTGCCCTCAAAGGCGACAGTCCATGGCGCAGTTATTTAATCTGTGGTCATCTACCCGGTCTCTAGGCGACCATGTAGATCGAGAAAATTAAGTGATTTTATTAGGCAATCATTCGATAGGCGTGGTCTTTCTCCTTCATGTCAGCGCATTTAGTCTGGCATTGCATTCAAGAGCAGTCAGAATGAACGCTGTGGCAAAACAGCAAAGTGGACTGTGAGAAACGTCAGGTAGGTTAAGTGTGTAAGTCCTCTCCAAGCGACACTAGGATTTACCAAAGCCTACTACATTTCGAAGTCTCTCAAGACACTGTTTTGTCACTTCGTCCTCATCGTCACGAAGTACTCTACCCCCCCCCTGCCTCCTCTGGCTTGGAGGTGCGGAAGATTACTCCTGACAGGTGTGTGTGTGTGTGTTCCCGTGCGATCGAATGATGACTCACTTTTAACAAGTGGCCGGTCACTCAAGAAACGACGGAGGATTTCCACACAACTTACAGGCTGAGCGACAGTGTGTGTGTGTGGTCTGTGGGAACATTGTCGCTTCAAAGATGTTCCGACTTTCTTCCGCTTGACGCTGCTACTGATGACCTTATCACATTCCTGAGATAGGATGCAGTAAGCTAAGGGTGTCGCTCGTGGGTCAGACGATCACAATTTGTTGCCACCAAGGGGGAGCGTGCTGACTTCTACTTGCATTTTGGTGTTCCATTGCCAGACATGTTTCCACCGGAAACAAGACAACCAGACCGTAGTGTCCGGCGATATCCACAATGCGCTTCAAAGCAGAGTGAAGACAGGGACGGCGACTTGCACGTGAGTTCGTTTGTAACGATATTATACTTGAACAGCATCTACCGCTACCTCTCTCTGTCTCTCTCTTCCTCATTTGGACGCGGTAAGAAGAGAGAATCAAGAAAACCGGAGTCAGGAGGGGGCGCAGGTGCCGTTCAGGAGGCCGCCATCAGCAGCAATATTGTTGGAGTAAACTCGTGCAAATGATCACCAGCCGCATCTCCAGCATAATCACCAGGAAAGAGGTGTCAGTTCCAACCTATCCCCACTGGTGACTCGCCTTCACATCACGCATCGGCTTGATGGGTCCCTTGCGGACCCATCTACCATGCACACCCGTCACGCACTCACACGCACACACCGTACCGGAAACCGCAATGGTCCATCCGACCGTATGCGCATACACGACAAACTCCAGTAAAGCTACACGTTTCAGACCACGCCAAAACACCTCAGCCAGCGCAAGCCCCACGCAAGGCCCAGAGGACCTACGCGGGAATTCGTTGAGGTAGACTTGCGCAACATCCACCGCAGCCTCCAGTCCACCACCCATCCTGCTTTGATGACAACACACTGCTAAGACTCTAAAAAGATGAGCGCGAGCACAGAGGCAAACAGTGCTATACAGTCCGTCTACGCTTGCCGCACAGGATCTTCTCCCCACTCCAAGTGCACCAGTCTACTGTGAAGGCGAACCGGGTCTCACCTTGACGAAAATGTCACGAAGACTGCATTAAGGAGGAGCCATTGCAATCCGACTATCCATCCTGACAGGATCGAGTTATCCCGTCAATTGGCAACATCGCCTGTCAGGACTCTTTGGGCATCGCGATAGATCCGAACGCCTCAGCATTATTGTAAGTGAGGAACGAGCTGGAGTGCCGTGGAGCTGGATTCACCAGTGCCGACTTCCCCTTTCCTATCCCCTCCCTCCTGCGCACCAGTCGACTGTCCAACCAACTGTCAACTAACTATTTATGCGATTGGGGATGGTGGCTGGCGCAGCGAGGAGGCCTGCGTGCAGGGTAATCATTAGCGCCTTGCACCGAGTTAGCTCAACCAGATAAACGCGTGCCGTGAGCAGGGCTGGCTCCGCTTGGAACCATCACACCTGTAGTGCAGTCCCTTTTGGGGTCACACTTCAGTAACACTATAACTCACTGCTGCACGGACATACTTCTAGATCCCCTCAAGCAAACACCGCATTTGATCATAATTTCGTAACTCAAACAAAGCGAAGTCATTCACCCTCGTCACCTATGTAAAATTAACGACCAACAATTCAGGAGGGAGAGAGAGTGAACTCAATAGGACAGATCTGGTCAGCTGACTATTTATGCGATTGCGCATGGTGGCTGGCGCGGCAAGGCGTGTCACACACACGTGTACGGCAATCGTTAGTGCCTCGCATGGAGCTAGCGCAGCCCGGTAAACGCGTTTGGGATCAGCAAACTCGCAATGCAGTCGCTTTTGGGTCCACACTTCAGTCACGCTGCATTAAGGAGGAGCCATTGCATTCTGACTATCCGTACTGACAGGATCGAGTTATTCTGTCAGTTGGCAACATCTCCTGACATGACTCCTAGCGCGTCGCGATACATTCGAACGCCTCAGCCTAATTGCAAGTGAGGGGTGGACTGGAGTGTCGTGGGGCTGGATTCCCCGGTGCTGACTTCCGCCTTTCCTATCCCCTCCCTCCCGTGCACCAGTCGACTGTCCAACCAACTGCCAACTGACTATTTATGCGATTGCGCATTGTGGCTGGCGTGGCGAGAAGGCCTGCGTGCAGGGTAATCATTAGCGCCTCGCACCGAGTTAGCGCAACCAGATAAACGCGCGCCATGGGCCGGTCTGGCCCCGCTTGGAACCAGCACACCTGCAGTGCAGTCCCTTTTGTGGCTAAATTTCAGCAACGCTACAACTTACTGCTGCACGGCCATACTTCTAGATTACCTCAAGTAAACACCGCATTTGATCATAACTTCAGAAATCAAACAAGACGAAGGCGTTCCCCATAGTCACCCATGTAAAATTAACGACAAACAGTCCAGGAGGGGAGAGAGAGAGAGTGAACGTAATAGGACAGATGTGGTTGAACTTGTTGTTCGCAGCACCCGTTTCTGACTCCATACAGATAGCTTTTCAAGTTATAGAAGGCGCAAGTGGACTAAATAATTTCAATCCGTTTAAACAGTCATTTTATGTTATTCGGAGTGTATAAATTTTCAATAGTGACTTAACCACCTTTTTTTCCTTGGAGGGCACATGACCCTATCCGTTTGTTAACACTTCCGCTCTCATTTCTGTCTTCGAAATGGTTCCTAGCATACTTCGAGGCGTGACCTTACCCACCCCATGGGTTGTCTTCCGATCGAGGTTAACTTGAGCCAGTCAGCGGACACCAAATGGTTGACTGACCACAAACCCACTGCTCTCGTCTCCCTTCGAACAATCAGCGCTGGCGTGGCCATCCCAACCTTCAGACTGTCCTATCAGCTGACAAGCCACCGCCGCCGCCACCACCACCACCACCACCACCACCATGACAGTCAGTCGACGGACTCGTAGGACAGAAACTTGCGCGGACCAATTTGATGAACTTCAGGCAAGCAGACCGTTCCCTTCCCTGTTTATAATGTCAGATATTCTCTCAGCCCCTTCTACATGGATGAAAGCGATTAGTGGGCACATTAGGCGAACTAGTGGCGCAAACGATCTAAACAGCATTGAGTTTTCGTTGGAGAAGTTCCTCTTCCCCAATGTTTGACCCTGATAAGTGAATGATGCGATCAGCCGCTGGCCTGATCATACGGGATCCAAGATGCATCACGAACCAAACGACGGACAATAGCTGCTTAGAGGCAAATCCACTGCCTCAGTAGTTTACCTGGTGCTAAATTCCGGTAACTTTGAAGTTGAGGTCATAATAAACAGTCCTCTAGTGCGGTGGGATGCGCCTTCTCTGATCTAACTGTGGTGAATACCTTCCGGGTACAGTTCAGAAAATATGACTTGGAATAACTACTTTGTGCAAGTGGCACCACGACTCTGTTCAAAGTGGAGCCTGATTTCGAAGCCACGAGGACCCCGAGACCGGGCAGGGCATGCTTTATCCACTCAATCCTCCTTCGAAGTGAGGATCTCTCACTCTGGTAAACAGCACGTTGCCTTCAAGCAGATTCGACGTGTGACTGACCACAAACCCACTGCACTAGAGAGAGAGAGAGAGAGAGAGAGAGAGAGAGAGAGAGAGAGAGAGAGAGAGAGAGAGAGAGAGAGAGAGAGAGAGAGATGAAATTTCGGCATGTGGGGAATTAGAACTCATCAAGTCTGAGTCTCACTAAAGTTGTTGTTATGTTACTCTGTCTTGACACCGAGTTCAGTTGAGCAAGGAGAGAGTGCGGTAGATGCGGCGCGGGTTTCCACTCACTATAAACTAGGCTACGCATAAGTCACCATACCTGTGGACATCGTCGGACGCGACGGTCCACGACAAAGCCAAATAAAACACCTGTGTTCACTCCGCCAACACCACGCACGTCCTATTAAATACTTCCAAGGACAGTCCCATGGATCACGACTCGTTCCGTAAAGCATTGAGCCGCTTGGCCAGGTGGAACATGGCTCGCATTTCAGATCACCGTGTTCCGTGGTTGTGGTATAGTTGGCTAATTATTGCAGATCAGTCAAAGGCAGCCGTCCTAGTCCCTCTTCTCTCCATTGGCAATAAGGTTAAGAGACCTCCTACGGAAACAAGACATGTCAAAAAGAGTTGGCTGGAGATCATCGACCGGAAATCTCACGGTCCATCTGGAAGCCGACCTTTGTCAGTTTTGGCAGTCAGTCTACTAACACTCCTTAATGCTTTCACAGAAGAGAGAAAACTGATTGAGGCGCGCTCATCGATCGTTCCTACGGAACTCACTCGTTGCTTTGTGCCTTATGGGTTCTCTCTCGAGCCCAACCAGCAGCCACACAGCGGCGTATGATTTAGGCAGAATGACATTACCGACAAATACAAGGCAGACTGGAATGGCCATTTCTGGCTTATTAGCCGTCATCAACCAGTCATACGCAACCCCGAAGTGTGGAACACCTGGGGCTCGATCCCGCGACCTGTTGGTTAGAAGTCCAACGCCTCTAACCACTGAACCACGGGCTAGTTGTCTTGTTGGTTCTGATCGGGAACGTTCAATGGTAGAGGCGCGCTCACTGATCATTCTTACGGACTCATGTAGTTGTACCGGACCAAAGAAACAGATGACGGCATAAAGTCAGGAAAGTGGTGCTTCTAGAGAAATACCGGGAGGACTGACGTATATGTCCCCCATAAGAGGACATGAGAGCAGGAACAGCCTGCAACGCGGGTCGCTTAGGATAAGGCTGAAGGCTAGATTTTAAGTTAACGGTAAGGTAATCCAGAGTCAAGTTTGGGATTAAGCTAGGGTCTAGTGGTAACTGCGGAGTTAAGGTGTGGGATAGGGTTAGGGTCAAGTTTAGGGCGGCGGTTTAGTCTCACATCGGGTTTATTGTTGGGGCTAGGACACAGGAATATTTTGCCCTCTCCGGAATTATGCTCGGGTTTATCTTTATTTCTTGGGTGGGACGTAGCCATTCCCATGTCCTATTTAGGGGACCATACAAATCAGACCCCCGAAAATACCTTGGGATAATAAATTTCAGACCTACTTTTATTCGAGTGGGTACATCGCCTCTAACGAAAGCATTTTGGCACGACCAAAATGCATATTAATGATCAGTCGGCAGTGGAGAAATGTATGCGTTTATTTCCTTGAAGTTATCAGAGTTTAACTCCATCTGCCAAAACTGTCGTGTGACCATTCAGGTTTTGAGAACAAATGTATGCATCACTAGTAATGAAAATGCGATTCTTGGCTTATACTCGAAGGGAGGTGAAACACTCATACAGCGAATGCCTCCACTTCCCTCTGAATGGTTATCACGGCAAAAAATCTGGTCCATCCCTCAACGAAAAGCTAGTCATTCAGTCCAACAAAGGAGCTAACTTCAGATACAGCCATATCGCATTATGCAAATATTATTTTTACAAATGCACCCGCAATTCCCACCCCCAGCCCCACTGTCTCGTCGCAGAACGTCGGAAGCCTGGTGTTTTTCTCAGCCTCCGTTGTATGAAGTACGGAGATTAGTCGGGCCCATTCGATGACTGAATACGATGATGATGATGATGATGATGATGATGATGATGATGATGATGATGATGATGATGATGATGAAGATGATGGTGATGAGAAGGAGGAGGAGGAGGAGGAGGAGGAGGAGGAGGAGGAGGAGGAGGTCGTCATTGAATTCACCGATTCTGTGAACGCTTCCCACTGCCTTCTCCTCGCTGCTGCAGGCGGGTCTCACTCGTCGACTTTTTCAAAGTTCTCTTTGTCTGCCGCACACCTCGTTGCCCGAGTTGCCTGTGCGCAGATAAATTATTCCCAGCTTTTTTCAAGCAAACAATGGCTGAGTGAGAAGGAGCTGGAGGCGTGGCGGCAGAGAAGGGGGTGGAGGACAGAGAAGTCAGCGCCTGTGCCGGTATCGGCAGTATTTTGAATGGCCTGAATGTACCTGCAGAAGTTTTGCAACATTTGTGTGAACATTAGTCGCATCAAAGTAGGACGAATGATCGAACTGTCAGATAAACAAGACACAAATACAATCAGATCAGGTTGTTCCGGCCACTGGTTACTTGAATCGATCGACTACCCGGCTTGGCAAGTTTCGAACCAGTCGGGAGGATTAACGAGAGTTCTCTCCACTGTCGATCCCAGTATTGACATAACCACTGTTAATACCACCACTACTGCCACTACTACTACTACTACTACTACTACTACTACTACTACTACTACTACTACTACTACTACTACTACTACCACTACTGACACTACTACCACTATTACTGCCACTACTATTACTACCATTGCCACTACTTCTGCTACTGCTACCGCCACTACCAAATGTATCCTCAAGCACAGCACTGGCTACCAATCGCAATGCGCACGTATTGGTAAGTCCCCACTAGTTGCCTTTATTTAAGTCGCACGCCCAAACCCCAGACTCCACGACTGCCCTCGAAGAGTGGTTTAAGAACATTTTAGCAATGCCTTCCTTCAAAAGTCTAATTACTCCCGACCAGTGACTACTTTTAAGCGTTGCTCTCCGCCTGAAGTTCGCTAGTCAGTGGCCGGCAAACCAGTGGCAAAACCACTTGACTGTCAGTCTGTCAACTCTCAGCACCCTCTTGACTACCGCTTGTCTACTCGGTTTTACTACTTGTCAAATCGAAAAGCCGGCACATAGCGCGACGTCACGCCCGTGCCGCTCCTCCGAAGGCGCGTCTTTGTACATCCTTTTGAGTGTCCCAACAAGAAGGCAGCCAAAGAAACAACTGGATTCAATGTAATGTCCTTTGTCAGCTACTCACTACAACCATTCAGCGGATGTGGTGTGGGAAGGGGTCCCACAACTGCCGATTCCCCCGAGGCCGACAGTAAGCGCGCACGGGTGAAACTAGCAAAACCTTTGTGTTTTTTTTTCAATGTAAGTCCACGTCCGCACGTGCTGGAGCCCGCGGTGAGAAGGGCTGTCGACAGTTGCGGAAAGTGGCCTCGCTTCGCTCTGCCAAGCGCTGTACGCATGTCCAGTGGTCCTCAGGGGACAATGCGCCAGCGGGTGGGGGCAAATTGTCATCTCAAGGAGAGGTGGCGGGTGGGGAGAGAGGGGACGGCAGGCAGGGGGCTTCAACCCAGACACTGTCCTTATGAAGCAGGACAGTTGTGACTTCTCAACTCACAGAAAACCCTTTTCATTGCGGCGGGGTACACATTCATTAGCAAGCGTTAGCTGAAGGACTGGAATAGTGTCGCTGGCTCCACCATGGCGTCATCTGCATCTTCTCTCCCCTCCTAAAGTCTGATTGGTTGGCGCGACGGTAGACGCCCTCGTCAAGGTCATGCCGCGGAGTCCATCTGTGAGCACCTTGAGGGCGTCGATGCGGTGGACGTAGGACGCTGGCGCATGGGGCGCAAACGGTGACGCGTGTGGACGTGCCGGTGCCGGCTCCCTCTCTGATCCAGGAGGAGAGGACTGTCAAAGCGCGTGTCCCGCTGATCCGCTTCCGACGACAGCTCCGGCAAGATGTCTGCCCAAGAGGCCCGCCAGGAGGGTGGGGGTGGGCATGGGGACGATGTTTCCCATTGGTTCGTGCATGCCTCTTCCGCCCAGTCGCTCCCCGAAGACCTTCATTCCATTTAGACCCTCAAGAAGTCTTGGGTAACCCTTAGTCACAAAATAGAAAAACAGGTGACGCGCAGACGCGCACCTTGCCGGCGCGAGCGTTTATCTGACATGCCGAAAGTGTCAGTGGCTGAGGACAAGGTCGCAATAGTAGACGTAGTAGTATTAGTGACAGTGTTAGTAGTACTAGTCGGTCGTATTGGTTATAAGAGATACGATCACTAATTCGACTCTAGGTCTATTCTGCAAATGATGGCCAGGCCATCATGACTATATTGGTGATGGTGAACAGTAGCTATGCCACTCAGTCGTGTGGGGAAAATTATGCCACTAGACCGACGATGATGATGATGAGTGGGCATGGGGAGAGTGTTTCTCATTGACGCGTGCATGCATGTCCTGAGTCTGTCTATCATTTGAGCCAGGAACTCACGAACTGTGTATGATAGTTAGAAATACTAAAATCAGATGAGACCGGCATACGCCAGGGTGATGTTTTGGACCAGAATCCACAAAAAGCAATGTAGACGCTTCCTCCGCACACAGACCCGAATTAATGTCTCAGGCAAGAGATGCCACTGGCCAAGGCCAGACTGTATGCTGACTGACTTCTGTCATACATTGAAGAGGCAGTTATACCAGCTACCTTTATGAATTCAATGATCTTGTGTCACAATTCGTGCGTACAATTGTACACATGGGACGTCTGCACGCTTCTTTCAAGGCGATTGGTCGGGCTGTAGCGTCAACATGCGTAGAAGCATCTGCAGTGGGTTGGGGATGGCCTTGAAGCGGTAGGGTACTGGCCAAAGACGCTGTTCGTATGTTTAGGCGGCTGGTAACAGTCTACCCGGCCAGACCAGAGGGTGTTTGGTCAGAAGCATGGACCGAGCAACAAATGTCTACAGTTCTTTTCTAGCGTTCTTTCTCAGACTTCGCCTTCGGCCCCCCCCCCCCCGTTCTTGCTTTGAAACAGACCAGGTGGAACTCCTAGAACATGTGTGTTGGGATGCTGGCTAGGCTCGGGAGAGAGCCCGTAAGGCACAACGGAACGAGTGAGTTCCGTATGAAAGTTCAGTGAGCGCGACTCTACCATTGTTAATTCCCGATCGAAACCGACAGGATAACAAGCCCTTGGCTCAGTGGTTAGAGGCGTTGGACTTCTAACCAACAGGTCGCAGGATTGAGCCCCAGGTGTTTCACACTTCAGGGTTGAGTATGAATGGTTGACGACGGCTAGTAAGCCAGAACTGGCTATTCCAGTCTCCCTTGTCTTTGTCGGTAATGCCATTCTGCCTATATCATGCGTCGTTGTGTGGCTGCTGGCTGGGCCCGAGAGAGAGCACGTAAGGCACAACGGGACGAGCGAGTTCGGTAAGAACGATCGATGAGCGACAACTGTTTCAGGAAACGTTTTTGCTTTGAAAAGGTCAGACTTCATTTTGACTAATATGAGCATTCTAAGACGTCTGCAACAGGCATATATGAATCCACACCATTTACTCGAGGGCAAATGAAAGTAGCACACATTTGGCGAAACTGCGGGGCGTGATGGCTTTGTCATCACTCAAATGCCATATAGCAGGCTGGAGACTGAAACTGTTTCCCTTATGACATTTTTCCAGGGTGTTCATTTTGGTCTGCTGACCTTGATGTCCATCCGACCTTTACAGCCCAAAAACCAGGGTCTGTTTGGATTCAGCTGAATTTTTGAAAATTGGATTAAATACGACTAACAGTGCTAGTAACTTACTGCCGGTGCTGTCGTTATTGCTACTACTACTACTACTACTACTACTACTACTACTACTACTACTACTACTACTACTGCTCCTATAACTGCTAACACTACCCCCCCTAACAGCCACCTCTCCCTCCACCTCCACCTCCCCCCCTCCCATCCTTCTTCCCTTCCCCGTCATCCTCATTCTCCTCTCTTTTCCCCTCTTCCTGCTCCTCCATCTGCCCTCGCCCACCTCCTCCTCACTTGCCGTCTCCCTCTCATTTATCTCCCGATCTTTCTCGTTTTCCATCCGCATCCTCCGCGTTCCCCTTCACAGACTTTTTTCCTCTGGCATATCGTCTTTCCTCCTGTTATCCTCCACCCCCCTTGACAACTGCTATCCAGATTGCGTGACTGTCGTATAGGCCATACTTCGGAAGGGCGCTTTCTCGCAACCTGTTCCATCCTTCCCTCAATCAAGCGGACAGTAATAAATTCGGTACGTTTTCACGACCTCTGCCTTGCCGCTTGTGGACGCCTCTCCGGTTAGGTGGCGACCAGATTCCTCTGAGAATGATGAAGCCCTTCCGCGGGTGTTGCCCAGTTTCGTTCAAATTCCAGTAGTGTTCAGGTTTCCACTTAGGATGTTAGTTGGAACCCTGCGGCCGGACAAAGGCTGTCCAGTTTCTCTCTACCGGAGGAGCGACCGTCATAGGACTCTCGATGTGAAGCAGTCCAATTGTTAAACGTGAGAAAACGTCACTGAATAGTACGTCTTTCAGAGTACTCTCGTGGAGGTTTAAGCGGCCCACCTGTTGGTTCCGTTACAACCGCAGGTGCTAAACGAAGACTGATTGGATTTGGGCAGGCCCCACGCGTCACCTAGAAGTAATCGCAGTCATTGAAAACTACATCAAGACTTTGACGATTCATACAAAGGAGCGGTCTACAGTAGGTGGGCTAACTCATGAAATGTCAACCGAAATTCCGAAATGCGTTTTCGTTTCGAAAAGATTAATTAAGTAGGGTTGTAAAACTAGTCAGCCTGCAACATAAATCTATACTAATTCAGTTACGGCAGGATGTCGGCTTTCGAACGAACTTCCTACCGGCTGCATGCAAAAACTACACCCTGTAAAAACGACTACTTACATAGCATGAATTTTTGTCCTTGATTTTCGATGCCCCTAAAAGTTTAATTATATTTCATAGAAAACATGCATAAAAATATTCACCCTTTCACTTATTCGGTAGAAAACTACATCTTCCTAAAATTTTATACTAGACGAAAGGGTATTATTTCGTTTTCAAAATCTTTTCTAATTCCCGAATAATTTCGAACCCGCTCTTCCGTTACACTTGGATTCAGGGTTTCCAAACTACAAGCCGTATATTTTCCGCGTACGGAAAACTGCACATTTCTCTACGGTAATAAAGGGGAACCATATAGAGTTCATAAAAATTAACAGTGGATTTGATCCATATTGTTAACTTTACAAACCGCATTGGTAAATGCCGAGACGACGATTTATGAACGGCCAAATGGCCGATAGAATTAGAAACCCTTTTAAAACCGAATTATGTCCCTCCTTCGAGTATAAAATTAGAAGAATATGTAGTTTTCTACCGAATGAGTGAAAGAATCAACATCTTATGCATGTTTTCCGCGAAATATAATTAAATTTTAGGCGTATCGAAAACCAATGAAAAATATTAATGCTACATAAGTAGTCATTTTTTACGGAGTGCAGTTTTTGCATGCAGCTGGAAGGAAGTTCGTTCGAAATCTGCCATCCTGAGGTAACTGAAATATTGTTGAATTATTCTGCAGGCTGTCTAGTTTTAGAAACCAACTTAATTAGTCTTTTCGAAACGAAAACGCATTTCAGAATTTCGGTTGACATTTCATGAGTTAGCCCACCTACTGTAAGCTTCTGTGCATCAATAAAAATCCTCTGAGGCAGTGACCTAACAAACCCGAATTAGTTGAGCTGTTCAAGAATGTAAACTATTAAACTTCCAAGAAGAAAGAGGTATTTCCACCCTGTCTGATTGTTTACCAAGAAACATCCAGGAATCCATGTCCTTCTGGCTATAAGCAGACTTACGCAGCAACCACTGCTAATACCACCACCACTACTGCCACTACCACTACTATTACTGCTGCTGCTGCTGCTGCTACTACTACTACTACTACTACTACTACTACTGCCACTTCTACTACTACTACTACTACTACTACTACTACTACTACTACTACTACTGCCACTACTGCTACTACTACCACTACTATCACTAGTACCACTATTACTGCCACTACCATTGCTACTATTACCACCACTGCCACTACTTCTGCTACTGCTACACCATTACCAAATGTATCCTCAAGCACAGCACTGGCTAGCAATCGCAATGCGCACGTATTGGTAAGTCCCCACTAGCTGCCTTTATTTAAGTCACACGCCCAAACCCCAGACTCCACGACTACCCTCGAAGAGTGGTTTAAGAACATTTTAGAAATGCCTTCCTTCAAAAGTCAAAATAATCCCGACCAGTGACTACTTTTAAGCTTCGCTCTCCCCCTGAATTTCGCTAGTCGTGGGTCTTCAGTGGCCGGCAAACCAATTGCGAAACCACTTGACTGTCAGTCTGTCAACTCTCAGCCCCCTCTCGATTACCGCTTGTCTGTTCGGCTTTACGACTCGTCAAAATCGAAAAGCCGGCACATAGCGCGACGTCACGCCCGTGCCGGTCCTCCGAAGGTATGTCTTTGTACATCCTTTTGAGTGTCCCAACAAGAAGGCAGCCAAAGAAACAACTGGATTCAATGTAATGTCCTTTGTCAGCTACTCACTGCAACCATTCAGCGGATGTGGTGTGGGAAGGGGTCCCACAACTGCCGATTCCCCCTAGACCGACAGAGAGAGCGCACACGGGTGAAACTAGCAAAACCTTTGTGTTTTTTTTTCAATGTAAGTCCACGTCCGCACGTGCTAGAGCCCGCGGTGAGAAGGGCTGTCGACAGTTGCGGAAAGTGGCTTCGCTTCGCTCTGCCAAGCGCTGTACGCATGTCCAGTGGTCCTCAGGGGCCAATGCGCCAGCGGGTGGGGGCAAATTGTCATGTCAAGGAGAGGTGGCGGGTGGGGGGAGAGGGGACGGCAGGCAGGGGGCTTCAACCCAGACACTGTCCTTATGATGCAGGACAGTTGTGACTTCTCAACTCACAGAAAACCCTTTTCATTGCGGCGGGGTACACATTCATTAGCGAGCGTTAGCTGAAGGACTGGAATGGTGTCGCTGGCTCCACCATGGCGTCATCTGCATCTTCTCTCCCCTTCTAAAGTCTGATTGGTTGGCGCGACGGCAGACGCCCTCGTCAAGGTCATGCCGCGGAGTCCATCTGTGAGCACCTTGAGGGCGTCGATGCGGTGGACGTAGGACGCTGGCGCATGGGGCGCAAACGGTGACGCGTGTGGACGTGCCGGTGCCGGCTCCCTCTCTGATCCAGGAGGAGAGGACTGTCAAAGCGCGTGTCCCGCTGATCCGCTTCCGACGACAGCTCCGGCAAGATGTCTGCGTCCAATGCAGAGAACGTAGAGAGATTGGAGATTAGATGGAGAATCGAGGTGGTAATTGCTACTAATGAGAGCCTGCCCAAGAGACCCGCCGGGAGGGTGGGGGTGGGCATGGGGACGATGTTTCCCATTGGTTCGTGCATGCCTCTTCCGCCCAGTCGCTCCCCGAAGACCTTCATTCCATTTAGACCCTCAAGAAGTCTTGGGTAACCCTTAGTCACAAAATCGAAAAACAGGTGACGCGCAGACGCGCACCTTGCCGGCGCGAGCGTTTATCTGACATGCCGAAAGTGTCAGTGGCTGAGACAAGGTCGCAATAGTAGAGGTAGTTGTATTAGTGACAGTGTTAGTAGTACTATTCGGTCGTATTGGTTATAAGAGATACGATCACTAATTCGACTCTAGGTCTATTCTGCAAATGATGGCCAGGCCATCATGACTATATTGGTGATAGTGAACAGTAGCTATGCCACTCAGTCGTGTGGGGAAAATTATGCCACTAGACCGACGACGATGATGATGATGATGATGATGATGATGATGATGATGATGATGATGATGATGATGATGATGATGATGATGATGATGATGATGATGATGATGATGATGAGTGGGCATGGGGAGAATGTTTCTCATTGACGCGTGCATGCATGTCCTGAGTCTGTCTATCATTTGAGCCAGGAACTCACGACCTGTGTATGATAGTTAGAAATATCTAAAATCAGATGAGACCGGCATACTCCAAGGTGATGTTTTGGACCAGAATCCACAAAAAGCAATGTAGACGCTTCCTCCGCACAGAGACCCGAATTAATGTCTCAGGCAAGAGATGCCACTGGCAAAGGCCAGACTGTATGCTGACTGACTTCTGTCATACATTGAAGAGGCAGTTATACCAGCTACCTTTATGAATTCAATGATCTTGTGTCACAATTCGTGCGTACAATTGTACAACTGGGACGTCTGCACGCTTCTGTCAGGGCGATTGATCGGGCTGTAGAGTCAGCGTGCATAGAAGCATCCGCAGTGGGTTGGGGATGACCTTGAAGCGGTAGGGTACTGGTCAAATACGCTGTTCGTATGTTTAGGCGGATGGTAACAGTCTACCCGGCCAGACTAGAGGGTGTTTGGTCAGAAGCATGGACCGAGCAACAAATGTCTACAGTTCTTTTCTAGCGTTCTTTCTCGGACTTCGTCTTCCCCCCCCCCTCCCGTTCTTGCTTTGAAGCAGACCAAGTGGAACTCCAAGAAGATCTCTGTTGGGCTGCTGGCTGGGCTCGGGAGAGAGCCCGTAAGGCACAACGGAACGAGTGAGTTCCGTTTGAAAGTTCAGTGAGCGCGCCTCTACCATTGTTAATTCCCGATCGAAACCGATAGGACAACAAGCCCTTGGCTCAGTGGTTAGAGGCGTTGAACTTCGAACCAACAGGTCGCAGGATCGAGCCCCAGGTGTTTCACACTTCAGGATTGAGTATGAATGGCTGACGACGGCTAGTAAGCCAGAACTGGCCATTCCAGTCTCCCTTGTCTTTGTCGGTAATGCCATTCTGCCTATATCATGCGTCGTTGTGTGGCTGCTGGTTGGGCTCGAGAGAGAGCACGTAAGGCCCAAAGGGACGAGCGAGTTTCGTAAGAAAGATCGATGAGCGCCCATTGTTTCAGGAAACGTTTTTGCTTTGAAAAGGCCAGACTTCATTTTGACTAATATGAGCATTCTAAGACGTCTGTAACAGGCATATATGAATCCACACCACTTACTCGAGGACAAATGAAAGTAGCACACATATGGCGAAACTGCGGGGCCTGATGGCTTTGTCCTCACTTAAATGCCATATAGCAGACTGGAGACTAAAACTGTTTCCCTTATGGCGTTTTTCCAGGGTGTTCATTTTGGTCTGCTGACCTTGATGTCCATTCGACGTTTACAGCCCAAAAACCAGGGTCTGTTTGGATTCAGCTGAATTTTTGAAAATTTGATTAAATACGACTAACAGTGCTAGGAACTTACTGCCGGTGCTGTCGTTATTGCTACTACTACTACTACTACTACTACTACTACTACTACTACTACTACTACTACTACTACTACTACTACTACTACTACTACTACTACTACTACTACTACTACTACTACTACTACTACTACTACTACTACTACTACTACCACTACTATTACTACTGCTACTATAACTGCTAACACTACCCCCCCTAACATCCACCTCTCCCTCCACCTCCACCTCCCCCCCTCCCATCCTCCTTACCTTCCCCGTCATCCTCCTCCTCCTCTCTTTTCCCCTCCTCCTCCTCCTCCTCCTCACTTGCCGTCTCCCTCTCATTTATCTCCCGATCTTTCTCGTTTTCCATCCGCATCCTCCGCGTCCCCCTTCACAGACTTTTTCCTCTGGCATATTGTCTTTCCTCCTGTTATCCTCCACCCCCCTTGACAACTGCTATCCAGTTTGCGTGACTGTCGTATAGGCCATACTTCGGAAGGGCTCTTTCTCGCAACCTGTTCCATCCTTCCCTCAATCAAGCGGACAGTAATAAATTCGGTACGTTTTCACGACCTCTGCCTTGCCGCTTGTGGACGCCTCTCCGGTTAGGTGGCGACCAGATTCCTCGGAGAATGATGAAGACCTTTCGCGGGTGTCGCCCAGTTTCGTTCAAAGTCCAGTATAGTTCAGGTTTCCACTTAGGATGTTAGTTGGAACCCTGCGGCCGGACAAAGGCTGTCCAGTTTCTCTCTACCGGAGGAGCGACCGTCATAGGACTCGCGATGTGAAGCAGTCCAACTGTTAAACGGGAGAAAACGTCACTGAATAGTACGTCTTTCAGAGTACGCTCGTGGCGGTTTAAGCGGCCCGCCTGTTGGTTCCGTTAAAATCGCAGGTGCTAAACGAAGACTGATTGGATTTGGGCAGGCCCCACGCGTCACCTAGAAGTAATCGCAGTCATTGAAAACTACATCAAGACTTTGACGATTCATACAAAGGAGCGGTCTACAGTAGGTGGGCTAACTCATGAAATGTCAACCGAAATTCCGAAATGCGTTTTCGTTTCGAAAAGATTAATTAAGTAGGGTTGTAAAACTAGTCAGCCTGCAACATAAATCTATACTAATTCAGTTACGGCAGGATGTCGGCTTTCGAACGAACTTCCTACCGGCTGCATGCAAAAACTACACCCTGTAAAAACGACTACTTACATAGCATGATTTTTTGTCCTTGATTTTCGATGCCCCTAAAAGTTCAATTATATTTCATAGAAAGCATGCATAAAATATTCACGCTTTTACTTATTCTGTAGCAAACTACATCTTCCTAAAATTTTATACTCGACGAAAGGGTATTATTCCGTTTTCAAAATCTGTTCGAATTCCCGAATAATTTCGAACTCGCTCTACCGTTACACTTGGATTCAGGGTTTCCAAACTACAAGCCGTATATTTTGCGCGTACGGAAAACTGCACATTTCTCTACGGTAATAAACGGGAACCATATAGAGTTCATAAAAATTAACAGTGGATTTGATCCATATTGTTAACTGTACAAACCACATTGGTAAATGCCGAGACGACGATTTATGAACGGCCAAATGGCCGATAGAATTAGAAACCTTTTTAAAACCGAATCATGTCCCTCCTTCGAGTATAAAATTAGAAGACGTAGTTTTATACCGAATGAGTGAAAGAATGAACATCTTATGCAAGTTTTCTGCGAAATATAATTGGACTTTTAGGCGTATCGAAAATCAATGGAAAATATTCGTGCTACATAAGTAGTCATTTTTTACGGAGTGTAGTTTTTGCATGCAGCTGGAAGGAAGTGCGTTCGAAATCAGCCATCCTGAGGTAACTGAAATATTATTGAATTATTCTGCAGGCTGACCAGTTTTAGAAACCTACTTAATTAGTCTTTTCGAAACGGAAACGCATTTCGGTTGACATTTCATGAGTTAGCACACCTACTGTAAGCTTCTGTGCATCAATAAAAATCCTCCGACGCAGTGACCTAACAAATCCGATTTGAACTGGTCGACAATGTAAACTATCAAACTTCCAAGAACAAAGAGGTATTTCCACCCTGTCTGCTTGTGTACCGAGAAACATCCAGGAAACCATGTCCTTCTGGCTATAAGCAGACTTGCGCAGCAACTAGTATATTCTTCCTGCGTCCAGCGTACTCCGTTAGGTGGGATCAATACAACCGAATTGGTGCAACGGTTAAGGTGCTCAACTTGTTCGCCTCTAAAAGAAAGTGTGGTAGCTAAGGTGGACCCAGTGAGTGTCAGTCGGGGCTTCAGACAGTGCCGAGATGGCCCCGCAGGTGTCCGACCAAACCTATGCGTGGTATGTCGACATTAGAATTGAATGTGTGCTTGTAGAGCCATGGGTATGTGCCGGTTTGGCGCTTAGTGATAAAGGTACACTGAAAGCCTTTGATGTAACCACGAAAATGACTTTAGTACCGAAGAGGAGTGGCTATGAGAGATATTTTGATACTGTCTGACATCTCCAGACATTAAATATATTCCGAATCCTGCGAAGCTCTCCGCAGGAAGGGCGCAATAGATACGCGCGAAAAACCCGAGTCTGATTCTGGGGACGTTTATTTCTACATATGGATGGTTGATTCCTGGCCAGCTTACGAGCAGTATGATGACTTGTCACCGGACGTGCCAGTATACGTAGGAGCAAAACATTCCAGCAGCTGTTTCCGGCGACGTTGCTTCTGAGCAGGGTTGCCGGTAGCTCCTTCAGACGGTGAGTCTACTTGAAGTCCGGCCCGACGTTGATTATTTAGGGACATCCACGACTGTGCCCTTCCCCCCGTCCTCCTCTCCAGTTGTGTGGACTTGCCAACCGGACGTCTGTGATGCCTCCAAAATAGCGTGTCCCCATGACAGCCGCATGTCGGAAACTTTCGGTTTGACAGTAATTTTAACGGAAGAACAAATAATTTTGAAGGACGGATGTTGGGGAGAGGGAGGGGCTGGAAGTCACAATTGACTGCCCAATCCAACTCTCCACAGTCGGGTCGGTGGAGGATGACATGTTCTAAACCATGTCCCAATTACACAGGGGACCACAATATTTGGTGTTGTGAGAGCGATTAATCTTATGTCAGTAGGGCCAAACTCGTCCTGCATCCTCCCAAGTGTCAGCCTCTGAAGGGCGCAACGGCATAAAAGCCTCCGTCAACGAGTATAAGGGGGAAAAGAGCAAGTTTGGAATGCTGATAACTTCTCATATTGTTGCCCTTGCAGGCGGAAACGAGGCGGACAACTGTGGGAAGGGCTAAAAACACGACATTAGTAGAAAAATAAGTGAGGGAACTAGGGCAAGTACCGGATGAATTGATAAGGTAAAGTAAGGGTAGTGGTGTTGATTGAAATGAAAGGTGAGTCACTGGAAAGGGGAGCGGGAGACAGTCTGGATATATATATATATATACGCATGGAAGTATGTACAGTTCAGCCTCACTGTCTCCCTGCTTCCAAGTGTTGGCACCTAAACAACAAGCATGGTGACCATTGTACAAGAATCGTACTGCATAGGGCGACGCCGAAGTGTGTTGGCTGAGCGACGCGGCCGTGAGGTAGCATTGGCCTGCCTGGCAGTGGCGCGGGTGATAGAGCCTGCGCTAACTGCTGGCAGAGTACCATTCCCAGGGTAATGCAGGCTGTTGGAGTAAAGAAAACGCTTGGCGTAAGCCACGGCGGCGGCGGTGGCTCCGGTACCTTCTTCCACCGCTAGTAGAGGTTGCAAGTCCTCCTCATCCTCTATATCACGTTCCGTATTCGTTGCAGTCGTTTCAGTATCTGAGCGAACCACTTCATAGACTAGATCGGCCTCTTGGCAACCCGCCGCCTGAAGTTCCGCCTTCTCGCAGACCTGTGCGAGACGCTGGGAACAATGGCAGCGACAGGAAGAACTGCGACGATGTCTCCGTGAAGGCGCGCGGGTGAGCGACAACAGTGAACTGTCTTCTGGCAGGGCGAGAGTTGAGGGCGCATCGTTCGCGAGAGGCGATGGGGAAGCAGGAGTCCTGGTGGATTGCTTCACTGAGGGAACGCCGGTTCCGGTGGCAGCCGTCTCGTGTTTCGATCGGCCGTGGCCGGCAGGATGGTGCTCGTCCGGTATCCTGGTGGTGTAAGAAGGACTCCAGTGCTTACGCCTATCAAGGTAAGAGGGTTACTTGGTTAGGATAATGTAAGCCATTCTCCAACAACTTTGTTTTATCGTAGAACACCCAAAACTGCTTGCAGTAACCTCCACGGTGCAAAATATTCCGCCTCCGAGGTACTTTGTGCTCGAGAAATACAGAGTTGTAGATAGTTTAAGGCAAAGGGACACGATGAAAGAGGTTATTCTCGAGACTTCTCAATGCATCTATGCGTTCTTGCTTCACGAGCTAGCCCGCTGATTTCTTCTGTGACGATGCAGTCCAGAAACTTAAATCAAAGAAAAGTGAGTGCAAGAGCCCAAATTCAAAGGTATAATTACACAGCACTTTTTACGACCACGTGTTTCTGTTCCTTCGTGTACAGACAGGTTGCTCTGGCAGAATTTGCTTAGGCATTTCGCTTTTTGCAGCAGATGGAGATAGGCAATAGTCTTACATTCACTTGGTAGATTGGCAATGTTCCTATGGGTCCATCTCGTACCGACTTTTGGCCATATGTCCAGCACATAAGATGGCGATTCTCTCTAAATCCAACCCACGTGGTCGTCGAGCAGGAAGACCAAAGCTCTTTTTGACACTTAAGTTTTCACCGGCGCTATTCTACTGGTGGACTTCATTTAATCATATGTACATGTACATATATATCCCGTTCATCATCCCCAAAAGAAGACGAAGAAGAAAAAGGGGCGATTGCATGGACCACACTGTATTGGTGCTGACGTTTCGGAAACTTCCTCGTTTCCATCATCAGGGTGTTGGGGTGTCTGTTCCTGCTGGTTTGGAGTTGTTTCGAGCTGGTGACACCAGCCCGTCGTTAGACAAAATGAAAACAAGAGAGGAAGTTGAGTTGTCACTAGACCCGTTGGCGCGACAGAACAGGCAGACCATTGGTGTGCATATATATATATATTATGACAGATGGGCGCTCACCGATCAGGTTACAGAACATGCTCGTTCTGTTGTGCCTTGGGGCTCAACGGGCCCGTGGCTCAATGGTAGAGCGTCAAACTCCATGACTAAATATCCCGGGTTCGAATCTCAGGTGATCCACACTTGGGGTTGGGTATGACTGGCTGATGACGGCTAATAAGCCAGAAATGGCCATTCCGGTCTCCCTTGTCTTTGTCGGTATCACCTTCTCAACATATATCACTAGTCGCTGTGCGACTGCCTGCGAGGGTTTAAGTATGAGCCCCAAGGCACAACGGAACGAGCATGTTTTGTAACCTGATCGGTGAGCGCCCACTATCATAATATATATATATATATGTGTGTGTGTCCAGTTACATTTATCTGATTGGTTGGTTCGAAAGAAATATAGAAACGGGCTTAGTTGGTTAACTTCCGAGCGAACCGTTAAACCGAGCATTGGTAAAGAGTCTCCATCTAAGCGCTTCGCATGCCTGCCGATTACCTTATAGCAACTGAAACCAGGCTACGCATACACAGCTTCACTAAGGTTTGAGAAACACGACTGACCCTCATCTGATTTCTTCCGCTCGTCAAAACGACTGTCAGGGTGTGACTGCCTCTTAATGAAGTCGCTAATGAGAACTGAGCGAAAGGCGAGGTCGAAGTAAAATTGAAAAGAAGGCGAAAACGCGATCACTGAGGAAAGTAGGTTTATTAGTCTGGGCTTTCGAGCTCGTACCGGAGTCCATCATCAGAGACTGTGTGGGTGGAACAACGAGTGAACATTATTGTGGTCGAAAACTGGGGGAGGGGTAGTGTCCATGACCGTGTCGGGTTCGCGCCGCGTGGCTCACAGTGGTCACACGGGGTGATGACGACGTGCGCTTTTGGCAAGGAAGTGGACAGCGCCATCTGGCTGAGTAGTTGTGGCGCGTGATAACACGAGGGTAAGTCATTGTGTCTGTTGATGGAGCTGGTGTCTGACACCCACGCCTCCAGCAGTTCACATCGCCTCTTGTTTCCGGCTCACCTCAACATCTGTGTGCCCGCAAAGCCGAACTCATGACCTTCCTCCAGCATACGCATAACGACTGGAGACAGTGGCCCGCCCCTCCAAACGATCCGAATGTGTTTGAGTATTTGCGAGCCAGAACGTCGTACTGTTTACCCATTTGTGCACTCACACAGTTTCTGGATGATGGACTCATGTACGAGTCCGAAAGTTTAGACTAATACACCTACAGTTCCAGTAATCACGTTTTTATCTTCTTTCCAAAAAGAATCTGAGACGCGCACATTCGCCTCCATTCGTCTCTTTAAAATGTCAAACTTCAATATCCGGGTACTTGGTGCAACTGACAATCATGTACCTCATATACCCCGCGATAATATATATATATATATATATATATATATATATGCTATAGTGTGCGGAAAGATCCAGAACACAAATAAGCCTACTAACCTTGAATTCATACGATGCGTCTTAGCGGAGTGTGGCTGTTGCTGCCACTGTTGCTCCTTAGAATCCTCGCGGTGACGGCCGGAAACGCGTCGTAACCGAAGCCGGTAAAGGTCGTCAATACAGCTTACCGTCGTCGCTTCTACGGATTCGAAGTAGCCACTGTCAAGGGCCCCTGCTGCTGCTTCCCCTGCCCGCGCGACATCTGGGCGTCGTTTGTGCTGTTGCTGATGATGATGACGTCGGTGTTGACGGCGATGGTGGTTCTGGAGCTGTTGGGGTCCCTGATTGGCTGCGTAGTACCCGCCATATATGGTTGCTCCGCCATCCGAAGTGGAGGACCAACGGCAGGAGGACGAGGAAGGTCGGGGGACTCGTTTCACCAGCACGCGGACTCGGCGTCTACGGCGGGAGGTCCGACGGTGATGCTGTGGCGGGTCTACCATCTCCTTGCCGTCAACTGACTTATTTTTGGGTTGCTCATACTCCCCTTCGCCCTCGGAGGGCGGATTGTTTAGGGAGGTGTAGCCGTCATCGGAGCCGGCGACAGGTAAAGTGGGGGTTTGGCTGTTTGGCGGCCGAGGAGGAATTGTGAGGTATTCCGCGTATGCGTGTTCCGTTGGCACTGATCTGACCAGAAGATCTGAAGAAGGACGTAATCATTTAGTCAGTGATACTTAGCCCAGTCTCATCAAATGCACTCAAAGACTGGTCAAACTGGAGGAAAGACAGGAGGAAGGCGAGTGAGCAGATCGGCAGACAAGTCTTCGGATAGCGAAAATCGGCGGACGGACGGACGCGTGCGCATGCGAGAGGTGGGGGGCTGGCGTTATTTCCGCTATCCTCCCCCCCTGCCATTAGCCGGCAATGTCAGTCAGTCAAGCACGAATGCCTGTCATCAGCGGCAGAGGCAGGCTGTTCACAGCCGCCGCGGTGATCGGTAGAAATGCCGCCTGCCATCTCAACGCTGCGCATGCACATATATATGTGGACGTTCGCGTATTTTCCCCGGAAATTGCAGATTAATCACCATATAGACAGTAAGGCCAGGGGACAGTTAGAGGATAGAGGGGAGGAGTGACGTGGGACCTCGGGGAGAGATGGCGGAAACTCGCGGTAGGGGCGCGGCACCCGCACGACAGGTCGGCAAGTATATTCCGGCGACAAGTTTTGTCAGTCCGGCGGTGAGATGGAGCACAGCGACATCACTGGTGGTGCTGTGATGCACCTCCACCTGCCGCACCCGTTCTCTCCCCCCCCCCGCATGCGCGGAGTGCGCTCTGAGGTGCGCAAACCATCTTGAATGCTGCCTTTACAGCAATACGAAGTATGCTGGACAGCTGTCCAAGTGCCGTGACAACAGCGGTGGCGACGATGTCGGGAGAAGTGAACAGTGGCGGGTAGTGTTAGGAGAGATTTATGAGAGCTGCTCCGATGTGTGTGCGATTGCGTGCGTGTCTCGGTGATCGCCTGCTCACGTCCACCACCATCAAGGTCCATGCGCGATTGATCATCCGTTGGATGCCACGACCACCAACACCGCAACGAAGAGGGTGCAGTGTTGACTTGCGCATGGAATAGTTTACTGCGAAGCAAACTTACGCCGCACGTATAACACGCTCTCCGCATGGGTGGCAAAGGTCACGAACAGGCAACTAACTATCAGGCCGAATTCCTCCAAGTTATCATAGCATAGGGCCGACAGAGAATGTGGGTAGATTGATACAGTACTGTTTCAGGCTTATGCTACCTTGATTAAGCTCATCATAAGCCTGACCAACAGTTGGGACCAGAAACACAAACATGTGCTCATACATGGCACAGATGACCAAATACGGAGTCTAGCAAATGGGTCATAAGTCCTTCATCGAGCTGAAGTTCATCAGTGCCTCACCACCGGCCATTATTTGTCGCTGCTGATCAAGTATTTATTTAAACGGGAATTAGTTCACACCGATCTATTGGTTTCCGGAAGCAAACAAGATCCGTATAGGTACATATATATGCGTATATAGATATACGGCACAGTCTCGGGATGTAGTAGGCCCGAGTAAAATTACCGACAAACAGTCAAAGAGCCGTTCGAAATCTGACACCGCAAATACTCCCATCAACCACCATGTAACTGCGAAGCTCTAAGTCCGTAGCTTAGTGAGCAGAACCACAGACAGAAAGTCAGACTAGACATGGCAGACGAAACCACGCCGAGAGTAAATACGGGAGGGGGGGGGGCGAACGGATATCAGACACAAGAACCGGCAGCGGACAGCTCAATGCGAACGAGACCCCCCCCCCCCCCATCCGACTGTCGGGCTCGAAAGCAGACGAGAGTGAACACAGGTCTGACGAGGGGAACTGCCAGCCAGATGGCAGCAGTGGCGTCAATGATAACGTAGCAACCACCGATCACACATGAATGAACAGGTTAGAACGGGGATACGGGGAGAAGGTACGCGGACCGGGGGACAACAAATGCGGACAATGCAGATGAGAGCAATGACTGTTGTCGTCCCGACGCCGTTCTCCGATCGGGTGACGGGACGGACCATCTGTCCTCATGGCAACAATCATCCATTCCGCTGTGCAATGGGTGCTGTCGCCTGGGTGCCAACGGCACACCACCAACAGGAGCAATGCCTGTACCAAACCTAGATCCGACAATGGAAGCTTGCTGGCATTCGGCCTGTCAGGGCAGTAAACCCCTGACTTCCGTGTATGTATATGACAGTTCGACCGTCGCCCTCGACAATGTTTACTGTCTGCTCTACTACAAGGTCAGGCAGGTACAGTGACTTGCGCGTGAAGAAGCTTATAGTGAGTGTAGACTTGCGCGGCATCTACCGCACTCTCCCTCCCGCCCCACCTGGGCTCGGAAGGACACAGACGGCTGACATGGCCGGATCCGCACCTAGGCGTGTCACAACACCCCCTGGCCCACAACAAACACTTAACCAGCAGCAGCAACAACAACAACAACGAAAACACCACAACGGGTCAAAAAGACAAATATGACTGGCCAGCCACGCTCACGACCTGTATACCCAGCGGAAGCGCAAGCGCTCCTACGAGCAGGGAAACCGCCAGTGCACACCAGGCTGCGAGGGTCTCGGTTTGCTGACTATGGCATTGCAGATGCTTACATTCCTTGAGACCCAGATCTATGGATATGTATATACATGTGTACACGGATGTGTCGGTACCCCCCTTCCCGCATGTTACATACCCCTATGCTACCGTCTACGAGGGCTTTGGATTTGGCCCTAAGACGCAACGTGTAGAGCGCGTCTCCAAACCCCCGATCGGTGAGCGCTCTTCCTGCGATATATATACATAGGCAGCTCGCTAAGAGTGCAACAGGCCAGACGCAGACAGCTGTTTCTTGGTCGTTACCGATCATCAATACGTCATAGGCCTTATGAAGTGAGGTATATAAGCATGTCAAGTGGGCCTTTGACCCTCACTGTTGTGCTTAGGATCTCACTCGATCCCATTCTGAAGGAGATTACTAACAAAGACAAGGGAGACTCGGATGGCCACTTCTGGCTCATTTTCCATCGTTGGTCAGACCTGACCATTAATTTAGTTAAGAGGCCCATTGTCCTGTCGGTTGCAATCGGAAATATTAACAATGTTGGAAATCCGTTCGCCGACCGGGTTACGAAACATGCCCGTCCAGATGCGCTTTGGGGCGCCGCACGCATCCGCATAGAGGCCGAAAGGAGATTACCGACAAAGACAGAGGGGGACTGGGATGGCCATTTCTGGCGTATTAGCCGTCGTCAGCCAGCCACAAGTAAACCCGGGTTCGCAGCACCCGAGTCTCAATCCCGTGTTCTTTGGTCGTCGAGCTTTGATGAGTTTAACGCTGTATCAAGTGAGTCACGGGCCTGTCGTGCTGCTGTGTATGACTTGAATATCAAACATCATTTATCACGCAATTAATCGTTTCACACACAATTTCAGTGTCCTCGTGACGACAACCAATGCTATTTGTCGTTGAGCGACTGTACTCGCCGCCCTGCGTATAGCCCCAAAGCACAACGGGTCAAGCATGTTCTGTAATATAGGACATATATGTGTATACAGCGATAAAATCCATGAATCACCAGACAAATCGTAAGGTAGTCTCCAAATCAAAAATTGCTATTGCAAGGGGCATAGGCTAAAGCTACTCAAAAAACCGACTGACGGCGATTAATCGAGACTTTCCCGTCGCCAATGTCAGCCATGTAAGTTGGATACCTTTCGGCAACTGGTTTTCAGTACCTAGATAAATTCAACAGTCGTGTACAAACATTTCCTTTCACACCTCATTTGGTTGAAAATTACGGAGTCTTGGAAAAAATCTGCACTTTCACTCGCACTTTATTAAAAACAACTTCATATGCCCTATGTCAGCGCGCAGTAAATATAGTGATGAATCTAGACGGTATCATGCTTCATAATCAACATTAGTAAACCCACCGATAATGGACTACCGGAATGCTTCTGCGAGCTCTTCAAGATAGTTGTGACTTTCACGATCGACATATTCTCCGTCTTGAATCACTGAACCCTCCAGAGGACGTGTCTTTCTACACAGCAAGCTCCAGTAATAAGATAATGACACATCTTTTGGGCAAGGGACATTACTAGATTTAAACAGGCATCGAATGAGATTTCCTCAAGTGTCGTTAATGCAAGTGGGTGAAGCACTTTTCACGCCCAAGTTAGTGAGCTATCGTGCGCTGGCCAGTCAATGCCCCTGTCAAGTTTCCGTGTACTGCTCTGTGGGTTTTTGCGTCTCGTCTAGATGAGCAGATGTAATAAGTCTGTGAGCTGAATGCTCTGGAGGTGCCGGAATTTCTGTAACATTGCCTATCAATAGCTGGATAACTTGACTAAAATGTGATTAATCCCACGAGTCCCGGTGGGTCCTCGTAGCTCAGGTGGCTAGGGCGTTGGCTGTACTGAAGCCTTTTCTACACTGTCGTGGATCCGAATTTCGCCGCAAAATGAATTAAAGTTACTACATTATTGAGCCTAATTAAGGGGGATTTCCGATATCGTAAGTATGGATCATACTTTAAGACTAATTCACACACCTTGAATTACTTATATTTTATCGAAAAATTGCTTCTAATATATGTGTATAATCTAGGTATTTGATGCGTTCGGAGATAGGCGACACACGTGTAGTCCTCATCTGTCTGTTGGCTTCCTATATTAGTTTCTGGAAGACGAGGTACTCCAGCGAAGTTAGACAGGCGGTGCGGAGAGTCAAGCACAGGCCCAGAATCCTGTTCAGTTAGAACGCCCCTTACGCGAGAGACAGGCTAAGCCTCCTTCCTCCCCACCCTCCCTCCTCCCCCCCCCCCCAGACTAGCAGTTAATGACGTTACACCCTATCGCTAACGCAGCTTTAGTCCTTTCTGTCTTTCCCACAGGGGGAACACTGTTTGTAGGCAGAGGAGGAGAACGGAAAACATCATCGGGACTGGAAGGGGGGACTCAAAGAAATAAGTCCGAAATCCCGAGGTTGTAAATCATTCCGACTGTTCTTGTCGTCGCTCTGACAGATTGCGGCGGAACAAGTCGAAAACGCACGTGCACAGGCGGACAGACAGATGCGTTCCGCTCCGTCGTCACCGGTCAGAGAGAGAGAGTGAAAGAGGAAAACGCTTCGCTCTCATGACTGGGCTTTCAGACGTGTAATTAAGCCTTTATGTGGAGACACTGCGACGTGAAGTACACCGGACGGCTGACACCAGAGTGTGGTTGCAGTGCAGACCTCGCGAGTTTTTTCTTTTAAACCGCTTTCAAAAAGAACTGTGAATGCAGTTTGTGGGGGTACCGCGCAGGCAGGCAATCTGAGAACAACACTTCTTACGACGGACTGAGTCAATCAAGCCTTCTGCTCTGTGTAGGGGAAAGCGGGGGGAACGACGGTTGTGTTTAACATAATTATGTTAAACGACTCTTTTCCTGTCCTCACATATCAACTTAATGCCCTAATTTCAGTCTGTGTACCTTACATTAGAGGAGAGAATTAACAGTCTTCGAAAGGACACCGGGAATGAAGGTAGCTACTAAACAGGAGCCGGAGTTGCCGTCCTCTTACGTGCTCCCCTCCCCCCCCCCCCTTCTAGAGCGACACTGCGACACTGGAAGCTGTAGAAAGCGGAGACCCTGAGCCCCGCAAAAGAGGATACAAGGGCAAAATGGCCTGGTGGAATCCATGGTAGTCATGTAAGGAAACCAAGTGCGTATGGATTCAGGGACGCCTGCCTTCGATCCGAACAAAACATTCCCGGCCGGGGGGGGGGGGCAGGGGGAGGCTAGAATAGAAAGAGGTTGTTCGCGCGGGAACAAACGCAGCCACGGTTGGGAGCAGACACTTCTGACACATAAGACCAGTCGTCACTTTAAGAGGCGATCGCTGGGGCACTAACAGCCCCATTAAGCTCAGTAGAGGACCTTCACTAGCTTTTGCCAATAAAAACACTTCTTCCGACAAGTGCTCATTTTCTAACGAATATCGCGAAGTTCCGCCAATCAAGCTGCGACTTGTAAAGTCATGTCAGAAGAAAACACAACTTGCAAAGTCGTATTGGAGCAGATAGTTCTGTAATTCCCAACATTGTCTCTTGGAAAAAAAGGCCCATGATTAGTTCTTATTGAGTTGTTGGAGCTTGCATAAAGCTATTCCCATTTTATGGAAAGGAAGCGCACTTGTTTTCTAATAATTTATGTCTTATTTATTTACTTTCCAAAATTGCGATTACGATAACTCGTCAGGCGGTCGCATGATTATTTGTAAAGCGTATTGTCGTCCACTAAGTAAACAACTAAATTTACATCGATTGCAACGTTGCATAAGCAATAAGGGACCTCGGCACGCAGATCGAAATAATATCTCATTTCAAAGTAAAGACAACGAGATTCTTTCATTTTCCACAAGGTGGTTATATTTAAAAAATGTTTCTGTATTGTTTATAAAATATGCTCGAAATAATGCAGGGACCGAAAATCAGCGCAAAAATGAATACAACTTGGGTATCGATTGTTCCCCAGCGCAATTTACACGGTGACTGAAGAGATGCTCACTTACAAGTCGGTATGTTACCACCGCGTGGATGATGCTCCTTGCTAATCAAGTTGAATGCGCGTCGAGTAATTACAGCCAACTCTTCACGAGCTTCGGGGTGTTCCACAGAATCGTGTGGTTAAGACCCTTCTGGATAGCATTCGTATAAGTGAGTTACTCTTCATTACATATACATATGTGCGTGTATACGTGCACGTCAATGTATGAGGCAGCGGCAATTCAGGAGAAAAGGTATTTCTAAAGTTACGGCCGCCCAGGCACCAGAATCAATCACCTGAAGAACTATTTCATACGTGAAAAATGTATCCGAACCAGTCGAAAAGCAACTAAAAAAACATCAGATACACATAGCCTACAGCTTGTACACCGTAAGGACAGGGTTGGCTAGCTCGGCAGACAAGGCGTTATATCCAAAATACCATGTGCCAGTTAGAAAGCCGTCTATAGTGGCCAAACTGGGAAATCCGTCTCAGCCCGTATAGAAGAACATCGGTTAGCTATGAAGAGACGCGGCAATCTATCTCAGGTGACCACTAGACCCTGGGCACAAATTTAAGTGGTAGAACACTCGTAATAAGGGAAGGCCACGAACCCTGGATGCAACGCACACAGATGAGGCGTCAATCGGCGTGTGGATCTAGATGCCGGATACAAAGTCATTAAGGAAAATTCAAACTAGCGCAACCAACCCCGAACAAGTGAAAAAATGCAATGAACGCGTACTGACACAGGGGCTGATCGATCGTAGAATCCTTTGTAGACTAAATTAAAGAGTTACTTGTTCTTGTACGCTCATAGTCTGAAGACGAGGTGGGGGACAGCCTCGAAAATTTAGACAATAAAAGTTCCAGTTTTCTAAAGAAATTCCTCTTCCAAATCGAATCTCTTGGAATTCCCCTTTTGCATGTCACATATATAACTCGATTTTTCCGAAGAACCACTTCCTTTTTCATATATATTTAGATTTAGATTTATATATTTATACATAGGGTAGATGGGGTAACTCATTAAATGTTAACCAACATTCTGAAATGCGTTTTCGTTTCGAAGATTGCTCAAGTAGGGTTTTACAAGTAATCATCATGCAGCATAATTCTATAATAATTAAATTACATCGGAATGCTTGCTTTCGAACGAACATCTTTTCAACCGCATGCAAAAACCATACTCTGTAAAAAACGACCACTAACGTATCACGAATTTTTCTCACTGATTTCGGTGCCCTTAAAAAGACAATTGTATTTCATGGAAACCATGCATAAAATGCTAATTATTTTATTCTTTTGGTAGGTCATTATGTCTTCTTCCAATGTTATACTCGAAGGAGGGGCATCATTCGGTTTTCAAAAACTTTTCCAATTCCCAATTAATTTTGAACCCGATCTCCTGTCACGCTTGCATTCAGGGTTCCCAAACTACAAGCCGTATATATTCCGCTTACGGAAAACCATATGGGGTTCATAAAATTTAGCAATGGATTTAAGTCATAACGCTAACTTTAAAAACCACTTTGGTAAATGCAGAGATATGACGTTTTATGAACGGCCACTTCACGGTATTAAAAAATCTCACAATTATAAACTTTTTAAAACTGAATTATACCGTTCTTTCATGTATAATGTTGGAAGAAGACATCATTGTCTACCGAACGAGTAAAAGAATGAGGATTTTTGCGCATGTTTTCCGTGAAACATATTGCATTTTTAAGGGCATCGAAAAGCGATGAAAAAAAATCATGCTATTTAAATGGTCGTTTTTAGAGTATGATTTATGCATACGGTTGAAAAGATGTTCCTTCGAAAGCCAGCATCCTGTGGTAATTGAATTATTATAGAATTATGCTGCATTATGATTAATTTTTAAAACCCTACTTGAGTAATCTTTTCGAAACGAAAACGCATTTCAGAATTTCGGCTAACATTTCATGAGTCAGCCCACCTACTGTACATATATATAAGCAGGACTTACCATCAGCAACCTCTCCAGGCTTCCTGACTGGTATGGAGAGAGTATGAAGCTCCCAGGATCTTCTCTCGGGTGCACAGGCTGCCACACCTGCCGTTGTCGCCGCGCACTTCGCCGCCGCAGCCGCGGACGTAGACGACTGTCGTAGGGAACCACTGTGAACGTGGCGACTTCCTCGCAGACCATCTATTCCTGTTTCCTGAGCCTTCAAACTCTCCAGCTTTGGGTTACTTAGCAGTACTTCACCAGATTCGCGTGGCTGTTGCTGCTGATGGAGACTGTGTGGTGACCAGGTGCCCATGCGAGGCACTCGCGGACGTGTTGGGACCGCGGCAGCGGCGGTGGCAACAGTGATCGCCTGAGATGGTGGCGCCTTTTCGGCTTTGCTCCGGTCGTGCAGGGGACTAGAAGAGGGTGGAACCGGCGCAGGACGTGGACGAATCTGCTGACGCTGCGTCTCCGCCTCGTCCGGCAGGGGTGGCAGGGGTCTGTTGGCCGGAGACATTCGCTGTGACGGAGGGGAAAGAAGAAGACAATCTAGTGGTTGATCACAATTGCACATTTTCGTCGCTGCCCATGTAACGCTGAGCACTGGGTGTGGGAGCAAGCACGCCCTCGGTGGACTGAGATCACTCGCCGCCAACAATGAACTCCGAAAGATGTCCCCCCTCCGGCCCCACTGAGCCTGCTATTCCCGACAATGAGACGGCACGACCTCATCCCACGCCAAAAAATCACTACCAGTAGACCAGACAGCCTTGATCAGACAAGATGCTGGTGCCCGATGGGAGTTTTGCCGACGCAAGACAACCAAGCCGCGTGTGGCGGGAATAGTCGCCCCTGCTAGTCCGACGTCAATCAGTGCGTAGACAGAGGACGGGGGAAGACCTCATTAGGGTTATTCACCCCTCCCCCCCAGAGAAGCGGGCACAAGGGGGCAAAATACTTTTCGGTGAGGCTGGTATCCCCCCCCCCAACCCTAGTGGTGGACTGGACAACTGTGAAGTGCTTGTCAGGCGAACGAAGCACGGCAGGCCAACTAAGTAAACAACAACCGCCAAGAGACTTCGGATCAGAAATGAGCCCGACGCTTGCGTGGCCGCCATCCCGCATGTTTGGCAGTCAGTCCTGTCTTACCAGTGCCAACTGACTGCTTCGTTTGTGGCTCCATCAATGGACAGACAGGTTGGGTGAAAATAGCCTGAAGCGGGACATTCAAGTGAGCGCTGAAGGAAGAGAGCCGCTGAGCAGCAATATGTCCTCTTGCTCAACATATCTAAGTTTTTTTGGGCAAGGATTTCCTAGAAAAAGTGCCCTGTTCGTTGGTTAGACCAAAGGACAACAGGCACGCCTCCCACCTCCTTAAGGCGATCTGTCAAGGAAAAAAGGCTTAAGGTCATGAGAGAGTGGCGTCCGCCGTTGTTGTCAGCTTCAGAACTGCGGTCCAGAGCACTCCTGGGTGGTCGCGAAGCCTCCAAAACTCGGGAACTGGTGGAGAGGAGGGGACGGGCATGTGGGCCAGACATAAATCAGCTCAACCCTATGGCGGAGAGGCTGGAGAGTGGAAATTTGTCGGGTTGGTCACCGTGCACATCGCTTACGCCTTGTCGACCGCCGTCGACCGACATCGGAGTTTAGAGTACGACCTAGTGACAAACAGCAGCGACTAGCCAGAACTTCTTACTCTGGTCTCCACTGTGCTCGTCGACGATGTCTCTCGGATAAAATGTTGCCCGACTCAAACCACGGTTTGCTCTGCGAAATTGCAGCCTGGGAGGAATTCGACAGTCTTATCCCCCCAGTATGCAGCCCGAAAACTAGAAGGGTTCGATCCAATGAAATGGGACGGAAAGGAGGGCAATAAAGATCTCTAAAACATTGCATATAAGGCGATTTTGGGGCACGAAAACGGCCAATGTTAGTATAACTGACGTCCATGAAGAGTAGGCAAGTCCTGGCACATCAATGAAAAATGCACGGCCCATTCGAATTCCTGAGACGGGGAAGGTCGCATTGGCGGTCACCTTACAACGCCCACTACTTGCACACAGACCCAACCGCAACTATCTGCATCGCCCAACGTAATCTGAACTCTCTCACAACAGAATTTCGACTAGCTCCCTTTATGGACCTCGGGGTTGGGAGCGGCGACTCAAATTCGAACTCTTTTATAATCTATAAAAACGTGGTCTCCCTTTGGTTCTGCAAACTGAAGGGAGGTAGGAAGGCATTCGGTCTCGATGAGTGCTTACGAAACAAAGAGGCTATCGTGAGGAAATAGCCTTAGAGGCCGCTCTGAAATTCATCGATGATAGAAAAGTACTAGCAAGACAGGGGATCTACTACACGTAGGTAACTGGACGTAGATGTCAGGGTAGGTTTGGTGATCAAGCCATTAATAGGGAACGGTGAAATCTACGGACAATAAAATAACAGATAGGGTAGAAAAAAGTCTCCTATAAAACCTTAATTACATTGTGGCGTCTTCTACGGAGACCCTGTTGCTGACAAAAGAGCAAAGAAGGACGAGGACGACAATGGCAAGAAGAGAATGAAATTACGCACCATCAGTACCATGCTGAGCCTGAGTAAAAAAAGAGCTGAATGTCCGATCACGTTAAAACGGCCAATTTATTGCCGTCCTTGGAATCGTAACTCAATCACCGGCCCGGAGTGCTTTGCCCCACTCTGAGTGGCTGTCTGCGCAACCAATCGTAAATGGACAATCTGGCGGCACTATGATTGGCTGTCAGGGCGTGGGCAGTCTCGACCGCGCAACGAGGCTTCTGACGGCGGCAATGACGGCGGCGGTGGTGGTGGAGTTCAGTCCGCTGTTGTCTGACGCTGATGGATAGGTGCGGCGGCGGTAGCTTGTCAATCATCGTGCACCGTTTAGCGGACCTGTTCCAGCGGCGGCGGACAGAAGAAGCCGCCTCGTGTCCTGTCCGGCTGAGGGCATGTAAGCACACGGACGCGAAAAGATCTTAACTCTGTGCCCCTGGAGAGTGGCGTGTAGGACTTAGGGACACCGTAGCATGGCCCGCCGCGTTTAATGAAGTAGAAGAGTTGCCAAGGCGGTCAGGTGGATTTGACCCAACTGGACATTTTGGGCAACCTTATCTCTAAACGCCTTCTCTCTGACCTCCTTTCTAAACCTGCTCTACTCGGAATTATGCAGTTGTGGTGAAATTAAATAAGTGTTCATTGAACGCCACAATCAGGACCGACTGCCGGCCAGATGTAGGCACTAGTGGAGTTGGGGCTTGTCTGCCTATGTTAAGTCATGCATGAGAATGCGCCTGGGTAGTCCTGTCGCTCTTACAGATTATGGGAACCAGGTCAAAGTCCCCATTTCCTACCTGATGCGTGCCAAATTGCCTAAAGCACGAAGGCCGTGTTGCAGTTGTCGTCCGAGGAGTTGATTGCTTGGGTTGACAGGACTTCAGGGGAGTTCCGCCGTCAAGTCATCACATCTGGGATGGGCGGCGCTAGCGCTGGTACTTCGGACTAAAACACGTGTTCCGAAAGCGTCTGGCTCTAAGGCTTCTTTTTTATTACAACTTATGGAAATAAATTGCAGACAAGGTGCAACAGTGAGTTTTCACAGACTGGGGGAGGGGGGGGGGGTAGTTAGTATACTGTAGTTGTTCCTTGCAGGCATGTGTGATCAATGTTAACATTTCTCTTTGATTGCTAGTGTTACCTGATATTTCACCATATTTGTCAAACGCCCGTTCGTGTAGGCGCGTCAATCAGCCAATCACAACTCCTCTTCTGTAAATCCAAGTTTCCCGTAATTGATTCCTGTGTGGTCGACGCTCACTTTGTTACCAGAATGCTGACTTCGGATTGTCTGCGACCAATGAAGATACTCATTGGATGAATAGAAGAGAATTCGTTTGGACACGGGAATATTGACCGCAGTATTACAAGTGGCCTGGTGCAGGAAATGATGGTTAGAGTCATTTCTGTGGCTAGCGTTCTGGTTAGGCTATCACGGCTCCTTCCTAAAGTAACCTCCGCCACTCTCACGCCTGTGAGAAATGTGTGTGTGGGTGTGTGTTGTGTATTCTAGGGGTAGTGCCCCCTAGTCTACGACCGACTGGTTACTTAGCCTTTAAAGATTGATGGTCCAGGCAATAGGCAGAACTGCGTATCACCGTTCTGGGCCTAAAGGATTGTGTGCGTGTGCTATGCCATGATCAGCAAACCATGGCCCTCGCAGCCTGGTGTGTGCTGGCAGTCTGGCGCCTGGTTTTCCCGGCCAGTATATGCCCTTGCGCTCCCGACGCGCATACAGATACATGCATGATTGCTCAGCCTTCTTCGTCATTCTGTTGTTGTTGGTTAAAATCCTGGTCAAATGTTTGTTGTGAACCAGGGGAATCTGAGTGGTGGGCCCAGGTACGGGTTCGGTCGCGCCACCCATCCGCGCCTTCGCCCGCCTCCGGTCTTCTTAACTCCTTCTCGACGCCGGGTCCAGGTGGGGGCGGAGGGAGTGCGGTAGATGCTGCGCAAGCCACCGCGCCAGCTTCACATTGCTGTGGGGCGCATGGTGGGTATCGTCGATCGGGAGTGTTCGGATTACAGTTTGGGTTAGCTGTAGAGTTTGGGCTAGTGGAAGGATTAGATTTAGTGTCGGGAGTTGAGCTTAATTTGGGACATGAAAATAGGTACCCACCAATTCCGGATTTTTTTGCGCGAGACCGTCTTAGAAGACGAGTATATATTCCCGTATCCGACCAGAAATTCTCTATAATTTTTTGACAATTTAAAAGAAGGCGAAGGCACGATCACTGGGACAGTAGGTTTATTTGCCTGAACTTTCGAACTCGAACAAGTGTTCATCATCAGAGGCTACTCGAGTGCAGCAAATTGTGAACATTTATATCGTTCATCCTTGCGGGGAGGGGAGGGGGAGTACGTCCGTGGCTAGGTAGGGTTTGGGCCGCCTGGTCCACGATGTTCCCCCGGCGTGGTGACGCCGTTTGTACTTCGCGACGGTGTGAGCTGCGCCACCTAGCTGCGTGGGTGGAGCGCGTGATAACACGCAGGCAAATCGATGTGTCTGTTGATGGAGTTGGTGTCCGACACCCACGCCTCCAACAGCTCTCGCCCTGTCTTGTCGCCGGCTCGCGCCAATATCCACGTGTTGGCGAAGTCAAACTCATGCTCTTCCTCGAGCGTGTGAGCGGCTACTTGAGACAGTGGGTCGCCTCTCCGAACGGCCCGTTTGTGCTCAAGTATTCGTGAGCTCAGACGTCATCCTGTCTGGCCTGTGCAGTGGCAAGGGTAGTTTTGGCACGGTATTCGATAGACTACGCCCGACTGTTCACCTGCGTCCAGCCGATCCTTCATTTTCATGATCCTGCTACGCATGGTGGCCGCCGGATGATGAGCGATGCCCACGCCTAGCTCCGACGCGATGCGTTCTGTAGCCTCGGACACATTCTTTATGTACGGTAGGGAGTGCCAAATTGTTGGTGCCTCTCTTCCGTTTGTCCGGCGTGGGTGTGCGCATATGCAGCGACTGATAAAGCTATTTGGGTAGCCGTTCTTTGGTAATTGGTCCCGGAGATGCCGTAGTTCTTGCATCCTTCCTTCGGGCTCGCTACAGTGCGTTTTTACCCGGTCGAAAAGCGCCCTCACACAGCCCCGTTTGTGCACCAATGGGTGGTTGCTATGATAGTTGAGGACCTGGGTTGTATTGGTCGCCTTTCTGCACACTGTAGTGCTGAGTTCAGCATCAGGTGTGCGCATGACGATCACGTCCAGGAAGGGTAGTTTCTCGTCCTCCTCGTCTTCTCTTGTAAACTGAATGTCGGGGAATATGCTGTTAAGTAAGTCTTGAAAACCCGATAGCTTGTCCTTTTCAATAATGACGAATGTATCGTCCACGTATCGGCGCCAAAACGCAGGTTTGTAATGGCTGAAAGCAACCTTTTCCAGCTCTTGTAGGACCAATTCCGCAACTAGGCTGGATATTGGGGAACCCATTGGTGTTCCTTTAATTTGTTCGCATGTTCTGCCATCGAAGGTGAAAAAGGTTCGTTGGCAGAATGCAAAGAGCTGCATTAGGTGCTGGATCTTTAGCGGCCCTGTAGTTTCGTCGTACTTTTCTTCGAGGCGTTTGCGTAGCACGTCGCGCGCCAAGTCTGGTGGGATGGACGTGAAAAGTGAGACAACGTCGAAGGATACCATGATTTGGTCGGGTTGAATAGTTTTTCTCCGAATGTCGGCAAGGAATTGGGAGGCCGAATTGACGGACGTCACAGAGCCCTCTCGGAGAAAATTGAGCTTTCGGGCCATCCATTTGGCTAAATTGTATGTGGGGCTGCCTTTCAGGGCAACGATTGGCCGCAGAGGAACGTTGGGTTTGTGGATTTTTGGTAGTCCGTAGAACCTGGCCAACGCCGTGTCGGTTGGTTTTGTCTGGCGCCATTCATCTGGCGAGATTACATTGTTGCGCCGGAGTCGGCTTAAGAGTCCAGTCAGCTGGTTAATCATCGATTTGGCCTGCGAGGCGGGTGCGGACCTATAGGATTGTTGGTCGTCCAGGAGAGCTCGTGCCTTCTCGTTCTTTAGTCATAAATTTAATTATTTTCTTTAGCTTACCCTAAGACAACATGTTTATTTAAGTCAAATAGGCAGGCATGCAATGGCACTAAAAACGAAGGCCTGTATATTCGATCGTTACCTTCGTTTATTCACATGGGACGTTAATTGTGGATGGAAGTCATAAAAGCAACTAGCGGGATCCTGCAATTCACCTGCCTACTAAGTAACTGTTTAAAAAATTTCCCTCACCGGTTGTCATGGTAAAGGAGGAAAACTCCCTACTTCACTCCCCGCTTGTGACTTTCTCACAACGATTACTCATACGCATGATTAAGAATTGTCACGTACGTAAGACTAAGCAGCTCGAAGACCCTTTTATGGCGACTCATTTACGACGTCTTGAAAAAGGTTAAATCCGGAGAAAATCTTGTTGAATTAGTGCGTGTTTTGAACCAGTAATGCAAATCATTTGTAGGTTCTGGTGTAAAACTGCACCCTGTTAAAACGAGAGAAAAATGATTGCATTAAAATCAGAATCAACATGTAGTTAAGTGTGCCGATTAATTTTCATTGCAGACCAGAATACAGGAACACCGGTTAGACCGTGGAGCTGCGTTTAAATCCGGCATGGAGTCGTCAGACCACCTTCGAGTGGTTTGCTAATAGAGGTAAGGACGCGAGTTCCAGGAAGTAGTCGGAAGAAGTGAGACACGATAGCTGGAACATGTGCTTTACAAGTCTGAAGTTTCGGGTTCTTACTCGAGTCCATAATCAGAGAAGTAGTCTGATGATGGATTCGAGGGAGAATCCGAATCATCGGGCTCATAAAGCTCTTGTTTCAGTGACTGTCCATTTATTCGCACCCCTAAGTGCTCTAGACCGCAATTACAAGTGCTCTGTACAGGACCTCCATGGCAGTACGGTACGTCTTGCATTCTGACCTTCGATCAGGACTTGCTGGTGAACTCCAGACTGACGTGAAGTTTGGTGTCAGTGATTGCAGTAAACGGGACTGAGCT